ACACCTATTGCTAAGGCACCATACAAGATGACACCGATGGAGATGCGAGAACTGAAGGATCAAATTCAGTAATTACTTAGTTAAGGCTTCATTCGCAGAAGCACTTCATCCTAGGGAGTGCCAATTTTGTTCGTAAAGAAGAAGGATGGTTCACTGCCCCTATGTATAGATTATAGAGAGTTGAAAAAGGTTACCATTCGTAATAAGTACCCTTTGCCTAAGATTAACGATATTTTTGATCAGTTGATGAGCTACTTATTTTTCCAAGATTGATTTGTGATTTAGCTATCATCAACTTCGAGTTAGGGAGCAAGATGTTCCTAAGACAACGCTTCTCACTAAATATGGATCTTATGAGTTCCGAGTCATGCATTTTGGGTTGACTAATGCACCAGCTGTCTTTATAGACTTGATGAACACGATGTTCAGGACTTACTTGGATCAGTTTGTCATTGTATTCATTGACGATATTTTGGTTTATTCTAAGTCAGAAGATGATTATACTAGACATCTTCGCACAGTGTTGCAGACACTTTGTGAGCACCAGTTGTATGCCAAGTTTGAGAAATGTGACTTTTGGTAGTGAAAAGTGAAGTTTCTGGGCCATGTGGTGTTAGAGAAAGGGATAAAGGCGGATCCAGCCAAGGTCTCAGCTGTTTTAGAGTAGGGATAACCTATCTCACCTATAGAGATTCACAGCTTTCTGGGATTGGTAAGATATTATCGTAGATTCATTTAGGGGTTCTCGAAAATAGCGGGACCACTCACTCATCTGACTAAAAAAGGTGTACTGTTTGTATGGGATGATCATTGTCAGACTGTATTTAACAAGTTGAAGAATAAGTTGACTACTGCACCTGTTCTAACTACACCACAGAGCGGGAGAGAGTATTTTGTCTACATAAATATTTTTTTTTAGGGACTAGGTTGTGTTTTGATGCAGAAAGAGCGACCAGTTTCTTATGGGTTTCATAAACTTAAGCAATATGATCTTAATTATCTGACTCATGATCTGGAATTAGCAACTATGGTTTTTGCCTTACGCATTTAAAGGCATTATTTGTTAGGAAAGTCTTTTAGACTATTTAGCAACCATAAGAGTTTGCAGTATCTCTTCATGCAGAGGGAGCTGAATATGAGACAGTGTAGGTAATTGGAGTTTGTGAAAGATTACCAGCTCTCTATACAGTACCACCCAAGGAATGCGAACGTCGTGGCAGGTGCACTTAGCCGCCGACCTTGTGCTAGTCTTTCTACGATGTTTGCTACTTGATGGGATGCTTTAAAGAATATTGATGAGTTATCTGATGCTTTTGTGGTATGCATAGTAATTACACTTGCCATCATCCACAAAATAATTAAGGTACAACTTATGGATCAGCAGTGCATCGATAGAGTTACATAATTAGCTTCTGGTGATGTTCTATATTATTCTGTTAGGATAGATGGAGGCATGAGGTATAAAGGACGCTTAGCAGTACCTTCTGCTGATAATTTGAGGAAGGATGTGATGTTTGAAGTTCACAAATCTGAGTTCTCTATCCATCCAGGTGGAGATAAGATGTATCAAGACATGAAACGGCAGTTTGGTGGGTAGGCATGAAGAGCGACATAGTTATTTTTGTGTCCAAATGTAGTTTATGCCAGATGGTTAAGATTAATCATTAGAGATTGTCAGGTTCTATGCAGCCACTTCCTATACCGGAGTCAAAATGGGAGAATATTTCTATGGAATTTGTGGAGAGATTGCCAAATTCCAATAAAAGTCACAATTTCATTTGAGTCATTGTTGATAGGTTGACCAAATCAGCTCATTTTTGCTTATTCTCACTGATTTCACTTCAGAACAGTTGGCGAGACTTTACATTGTAAAGATTGTGAAGTTACATGGCATACCATTATCCATCATCTCGGATAGAGATTCGAGCTTTATATCTGGATTTTGGGAGAGTTTTCAGCAGGCTTTGGGTATAGATTTACATCTTAGTACTACTTATCATCCTCAAACTGGTGGAAAGACAGAAAGGGTTAATCAGATTATGAAGGATATGTTTCGAGCTTGTGTCCTTGACTTTAAAGGCAATTGGCCAGGAAGATTATTTGCCTCGCAGAGTTTGCATACAATTGTTGATTTTTAAAGTTATAGTTAGAGGTGTCATTTTCTTTAAGATTGGAGTGCAGTTGTATAAAACTAGGGTGGGTTTCCCTAAATAAATAAGTTTTTTAATATTATATATTTCCTTTTATAATTAGATTTTCTTTTATTGAATTTTAGTAGTTTAATTTTTTAATATTATATATTTGCTTTTTTATTAAATTTTCATTTATTGAATTTCATTATTTCCTAATACTATGTTATTGTTATTCTTATTATTATTATTAAATAAATTAATATGCTAAAATACTAAATATTTTTGTATTTTTAACAATAATAATAATAATAAATAATAAAATAGATATATATACCACAAAGAGATATGAGAATTGGTTTAAAAATAAGGAAACTATTCAAATATCTGTTTTGCTAGCAGTTTATGAAAACTTGGTTAAAAAAAAAAAAAAAAAAAAAGTATGTTCTCAAAAAACTTTATTTTATAATTTTTTAAAAACAATTTTATATTTTTTGTCTCAACCATAGTTAGTAAAATAAGGTATGGGAAAAATACGGATACGAAAACGTATGAGTATAATTCGATATATTTTTTTTAAAATACGTTTTAAAAAAACGGAAACATAAAAATATGAATACGGATGCGTACGTGTATAATACGTTATATGCACTAAAAATTCGGCACCAAAAATTTAGCTATACACATTTTATTATTTTCTTATATATCATGTATTTGTAAGGGCAATGAATAATAGGTAACAAATAATAAAATAAATATATTACTATTAACACTATCACAATAATCATAACAGAAATAAACTATCTAAATATAATTAATCAATAACTATAAGTCTATAACATGATCAATTCATCACAAAATTAATGAAAAAAAATTCTAATTAAATTAATCAACTATGTTGCCTAAATTAAAAATAAAATGTAGCTGCTTAAACCTCTTAGTGTACTTTTGAACAAATTTCAATATCTCTACCTTTTACCCGGATAAATGTGATTTGACTATTGAAATACCTTCATGATAGTTAGAGTTTTGTTCAACATGATCCCAAAATGCATTTCCCCCCCCCCCCCCCCCCCCCCCCTCCCCCCCCCTTTTTTTTTTCTTCATTTTTCCTTGATAGCCTATATATTTATAATAAATGCATAAGTATATGGTTAAAAATTGGTGAAAATATCTTTATATTCTACTAAAACATTTAGTGAATGTGGTGATTTACAAACTTCCAAAATAATAATAATAATAAAGATACTAACAAAATTTAAAAGATTTCAAACAAAACGAAAAATTTATAAATGTCTACAAATATCAATAAAAATCTATAATTCTTCAAAATTGTAGTGTTTCACAAGGTATATATATGTGTTTTATTACTTTGATTAAAGATCAAGTATTGGATTGACAATAATAAAATATTAAAAAAAAAAATAGAGTGATAGTAGAATAACTGAGTGGTCACAGCCTTTTCCGAGATTGCACAACAAATAGTATTATTTTGATGGTATGAAAGAGAAGGGCTATACCAAACACAAGACAGTAGTTTGTATTAAGAATGTGTGTTTGAAAAAAATACAGTATTCGAAACATGAACGAAATAAAATAAAATAAAATAAAACAATTAAGTTACCTTAAAGTATAAACACGAATTAAACGGAGCAACCAAAACGAACAAATGGGACTATTTTCCCAAAATTTGCGTTTAATTCGCGTATGATTTAATTCGCGTATCATACGCGAATATATTGACTAGGATCTCAATAACTAATAAATAGACATGTCATCTTTAATTACCAAATTAGAGATGATGAGTATATTTTTAATTACAAATTCAGACTTAATAGGTACATATTTACCAAATTACTAATATTATTTTTTAAAACTTTTTTTGATATTATAATTAAAAAGAATGTATTTATTTGTTATTGGTCACGTGGAGATGCTACATCCATCTCACCAATGACAGCCTAATAAGTATTACCCTTAAGGAGTTTGTTGGGTTGGTGACTCATGTAGTGATCCAATGCTATTACAAAAATTAAACTGCTAAAACTATTAAAGGCCAAATTTTGAACGGAAAAAAAAAACTATTAAGGGCTAAACAATTGGGTCGGAGCGTTGTGCCTTGTTTCTGCTAAAAGCATTGATTTGGGCCTCAGTGCATTTCTATTGGCCTTTGCTCCAATCTTGTAAAATATTGTATTTTATGTAATGTGAGCCACGCCAATAATGGTTATAACCCAATTGAAACCCATTAGCATTCCCCAATAGTAATGCTAAAATGGACGGACGATGTATATTTATTTTTTTTCGCATTCGAAAGGTAAGGTTGAAGAAGAACTCTAGATCCTTAGATTATCTTTCCTTGTAAACTATTTATCTTATTATTTGTCACATTAGTGGATTTTTATCAGCCATGGAAACTTTTATCATTTTCCTCACCAATAATAACACGAATAGATAAATAATAAAGATTAAGTTATAACTTTTAATGTTTGATTTGCCTATAGATGTTTTCTTTAATGGAAAATGATAAAAGTTATCATATGGGGTTACTAGCTTTAATATTGTGGCACCACAATTTTCAATAGCACAGAATAAATAGCTTTTCAGGTAAGAAACACGTTCATGCACTAATTTGCTCTATGAAAATTTGAATCCTTGACTTTCTAATTTTGAAGGTAAGAAAGTATCATTCAACTACACCGCCTTAGTAGTTTTTTCTAATATAAACAATCCAATCTGAGAACACAATTAACCTTTTTACTAAGAACACTCTGTCGTAACTTACAGGAGTAGTGGTAAAAAATTCATTTTATACCTATATATATGTATCTAAAGACGAGGCAACCCTCGAAATAAACCATGTATATACCTTCATTTTTGGTGTAGCTTTGTCTGCTTCTCCCCTGCCACTGTTCCATTGGTACACACAATTAAAAATGCTTCAAAATCCATCGGGTGATTCTTCGTGTTCCATCTGAATATTCGATATTTCACTGCAGTCTCCAAAGCCATCTTGAAATCTATATGCCCACTCGCATTTTTTCTCCACAACTTTTGATCAACATTAACAAGTACATCCGTTAAACGAGCCTTCTTGTGGCGTTGATAGAAAGCCGGGATAGACTTCATGCCAAGAACTGAATTATTGTAGTATACGGTTGCATGAATATGATGGTAGTAGATGCCAACGCCTCTGTTAGGATTTGAGATTTCGAGATTGAAGAAGACAGAAATGTTGTTGACTACTACTACTTCAGTGCCACCAAGTGTAGAATTCTGGATGTCCAAGGCTGCAGGTATGTTGATATTGGTTACTGTGAAAATGGGAATTTTTGGAATTAGACTTAGCCATACTACGACACAGGCTAAACCTAACACGATTACAACTTGAAACAACCACCAATAGATGTCCAAATGTGTTTTGGAGATCTTCCAGCTGGGAATCATTTTTACTGAAATGAAATCTTAGGAATTATATAAGTTTGTTGAACATATATATATATATATATATAGTAGGATTATGTAATTCTGGGATCTGAAGAGGCATAGGATTAAAGTTAGACAGAGAGGAGGAGCAGAAAGAAAACTGAAGATCTTGTGCTTTTCGGTGTCCCAAAAGAATGTTATGAGAGGATTTATTATCATATGCATTTAACTTAAATATCACCACTTTATTAGGAGAAAGTAGTTGATGTTCATATGCATTTATTTTAATTGTCACGATTTAATTATTGTGAGAAAGTAATTGATGTGATACAACTGTATCAAAAGCAAGCCTCTAGGTCTTATGAGATGGTTGTGATCCAATCTAATATACATCATCTAAGGATATCCCTAGCCGGACTCAGAAAATTTTGTGAGGGGGCGGCCTTTTGATTTGTGGATACATGATTATATGATGGGTCTATTTTTGTAATTTTAAAAAAGTTTTTTCATAAATTTAAAAAAAATTAATGTATAAAATGAAAAAAAAAAAAAAAAAAAAAAAAAAAAAAAAAAAAATCCTAGTGGGTACATCTTCATAAATTATCAAAAATTAGAACTATAAAATACTAAAAAAAAAATATCCAGTGGGACGAATTGTAATTTTATAGGGACATTTTCATAAATTTTTTAAAATTTAAAATATAAAGTAAAAATATTAAAAATTCAGGGACAGGGTCCATGCTGATCCGTCCCTGTCCTTGGCTAAAATGTGCATGCATGAGTCAAGATTGTGACATGCCCTTCGTTACACCCAAAAAATGATGCCTAAAGTTTACAAATTGCTGCAACTTACTTTTTCTTTTCCTTTTCCTTTTTTCCTGTAAGTCTAGCTGTAACTTACTTTTTGAAATACTTTATTTGTAGAATGAAAATTGATTTTGTACTTTACATCAAAACCATCTTAATGGGTTGTGAGACAACTTATTATTAGTTTGGATATATGGTTCTTGTCCCTGATAAGCTATCATTCAATTAAATATGTGTGTTTTATTTAACATTTTACTTGTGTCAATTTATTATTTATTTAAATTATGTAATAATTTCTTAAACTAATTACGGTAAAGAAAAAGTCAGTAAAATGACCAAAGAATCTAAAAAGGAATTATGTGGAGTAATAAAGTAATTATTGGGCTACCTAGAAAATAAAATTACTGCACAGAACATTGCTTTTAAGTTGGCACAGCCTGAAAAGCAAATGAAAAGAATTGAAGAAATGAAAGTCTCTAAAATAAAATAAAATAAAAAATTGTGACAATTATTATTATTTATGTATATATAAAAAAAAAAAAAGAAAAATGATCAGTGAATTCTTCAAGTTACCAATGTCTCCATTTAGTGGACCTCCAATGGAGCAACTATAGAAATATATACAAAATATATGCTACATCATTTCATGAACTCAACTAAAATAAAGAAGAAGAAAATTTTAAAATAAATAAATGAAAAAGATTTCAAACACCTTGTATTGTATGCACTTTCAACTGAAATAAACTGGGCATCTCTTATCTTTATAACGGGCTAAAATCAAGCCATCCGGGCCCACCCCAACTTCACATTTGGCGTGCATCTTATGGTGCTTACTACGCCACGTGTAAATCTTAAATCGAATGGAGGACTTCAGTTCAAGACGAAAGATCACCGTCCCTTTGGCAAGATCCGCGGTGAACTTGGTCCAACGATCATTGTTGACCGTCAAGCTGGCCCCACCCAGCACATCATAAAGTATTGTTGTGTTCTTTGAATCCTGATAGAATGGAAACAGTAGCGAGTTGCCGCCAATATTCTGATCTTCATAAAATAGAGTCACCTGCATAGAATCATAGTAAATCCCAATCTTGTGGTTCGGGTTACGGACCGTGACATTGAAAATGACTTGGGCATTAGCAAACCCGTTTTCTTGGGCCAAACCCGGAATAGAGAACTCGTGGACATAAAATCTGGGTCGGTGCGGGCGTAAGCTGAGCCACAGGATAAAAATGAGGACGCCCATAAAGAGGAGAATACCCAAGAAAATGGCACAGACGAACTTGGAGACTCTGGTGGTGAGGCTCCCTTTCACCCGGTCAACATAGTAGCTAGCCGTGTGGTGCCGTTTTAACTGGCGGCCGTCCGGTGAGGGCTCCTGAATCGGTATATGGTGTTGAGAATGCATGATGTTAATTACGGTTAGAGGTCCGGGAATTGAACTACTTCTAAAGCTTAATTTTATGATGATGAACAAAGGATTTTGTGACGGTTGGTATATATATATATATATATATGTACATGCACAAACGTGTGTGTGTTACTGTGTGGGAGAGAGAGAGAGAGCAAAAGAGGTGGCGGGAGTGCAAAGCTAGGGACGTGAGAGGATCCTAGTTTTTGCATGGGGGAAGAAAAGAATAAAAGGTGAATGATCGAATATTGTTTAATGAAGGAGGGAGGGAAGTATATGATGCTAGTCTTACTTCCTCAAGAGAAGTTTAGAGCTTCTTTAATTTACACTGTATCAAAAAGTAAGATGCAATTGCTAATAATATTGTACTCCGCTTGTGACTCAGTGCTCAGGGAGTTTGTATATGGACTCGTTATCACTGCTCTTTCAGAACAGGGTGAATTTAAGGAGAGATGAGTATTGCAATTGAAACAAATTAAAAGGGGTCAAATCCAAACGAGGACGTAACTTTTTATTTTTATTTTTATTTTTATTTTTTGTAAAGTTTTCATTTTTTTTTTCCTCCTTTTTATCTAAGACCCCATTTTGTTTTTTTTTTTTTTGAAAAATTAGAATTGACCAAAATGTTAATATACATGGACATTAAAAAAAAAAACACAAAACAAAACAATGTTGCCTCCGGGGGCGTAGTAGTGATGGTAGGAGCTTGGCGTTTGCAATCCACAGGCTAGTGTTCGAACCTCCCAAGCCACCTATGTTCTCGACTCATCCGGTGTGTGGTTATGGGGCTATGTTATATTACCCCCAGTTTGGCGCCATGGGGTAGAGTCCCTAAGGGGCCTTGTTTCAGGGAGTTATGGGTCATCAAAAAAAAAAAAAAAAAAAAAAAAAAAAAAAAATTCCAAAACAATGTTCATTTGCCCAAATAACTCGTAATATTTTCAAATATTACTTTTGTGCATATAAGTGCTAACTAATCTTCTACACAAAAATACCACTATTAATATTTGAAGTTTTTAAGTAGACATGCAATTAATGTATGTATTGTTCCCTAATAAAATTATAAATTTGTCTTTTGTAGTTTAAATATGCATAGTTATCAAATTTGAAATTTTTTGAAAACATAATAGATAATGATAGAAAAATAAGGTTTATTTGTTTTGACTTTTTTAAGAGGAAAACTAATTTGAGACATTTAAAAAGGGAATAATAATGTAATACAACTATGGGACAAAGGTAGTACCATTTTAATGGTATGTAAAAAATAATAAAAATAAAAAAGGTACTACAAATAGTAGAATTAATTTGGACAAATGATGAACTATATTTTCCAATTTTTTTTTTTTTTTTTTTTTGAAACATTAAGATTTTGACTCATTCAAATAGTAAATAAAGGTTGTGGCGACCTATGTGGGCGGGTGCGAGACACTGGTAGGCTACCAAAGTGACCGAGTTACAAGTGCATAATTCTACATTGTCTAGGTATGGAAAGGGAAAGTGTTGTATGAGACATTTTGCAGTAACACTTAAGAACAAAACCGTGTCACTTCGAGTCAAAGTGAACAATATCATACCACATAATATATGTAATTATTCCTTTTTTTCCTTCTTATAATAAAAAGTACAAAAAATTATAAAATAAATTATACTAGTGTAAGGCACGGACCCAATATATAGGCCTAGTGGGGCAATTGCCCCTGCTGAAATTTTTTACCTTTTGTATTATATACTTTATTAATTTTGCTTTTATTTATTATTTTTTTATTTATGTACCCATACGATATAAAATTTGTCCCTTTGAAATTTTAAAAAAAAGAACTTCACTCTCACCACCACAACAATTTATTTATTTATTTATTTTTTTGGTTGTTGTTGTTGTTAAAAACCACCCCTACTCGCATACTTCTTTGGGTCCATCCGTACTAGCGTTTTTGGCGGTCAACTTGCAAACAAGTGGAGTCAAAAGTTTCATTTTCAGAAAAATGGAACTTTTTAAAATTTACGAAGACATGGAATTTACTATTTTCTAATTTTGTCAATCACAAACAGACCTTTACAACATTACTGAATTACTGAATTCCCCATCTTTACAACACAGTTTATGTTTTAAATATAATCCCATATTTAAGTAGCTTCATTTTTAGTATTTTTTTTATTAATATTTTATAAACACTATGTATAATTTCCTATTTTGAAGTCAACGAATAACATTGCGTGAATGACGTATAGCAGGTATTGAAAATGAAAGAAATCATTAAGGTGTGGATGAAACCAGTTCATTAGAAATGTGTGATGTTTTAACAAATCATTTTAATACCCTCCCATGAGTACTGGGAGTCCCTTGCGTTAGCATACGTATGAATCTCTCCTATTTAGTTCTTCAAAAAAAAATTCCGTAAAAGCAATTAATTAAATAGACGATTTGAAATTGAACATACACATATATATATCTATATTTATATTATTATTAAATGTGTCAAGAGTTTTAGCTTTTATTTATGTTTATAAAAAAATATTTATTAATTAATATAAAAAGAGTTTTTAAAACAATTTCAATAAAACTCTAATCTAAATTATCTATTTATTATGAGTTTTTATTTATTTTTAATTAATATAAGGTATTTAGAAGAGTTTTATAAAATCAAATTAACTATTTATTATGAGTTTTTTTAGTAAAGGAAAATCTAATTAGACAAGAAAATATATAAAGAAAATAAATAATTTAGTCTCTCTAATTAGACAAGAAAATATATAAAAAGAAATATATATGTCTTGGTAGATAAATAAAATATTCAATAACTATATTCATCGACTTGTTGAATAATATTCATTACTAAAATAAGTATTAGTGAATTGTAATAAAAAAAAAAAAATAGTCTTGATTTTGATATTGTTTTAGGATTTTAAAAATACTAATAATTGAATTCCTATTGAAAAATTTAATTAATAATTATTATATTTATTTCTTTTACCTTGTGTCAATTTTATGTTCATCGATCATTTTAGAATTTTGCTAATTATGTTTTATAAAATAGTTTTCTAATTTATTATTGTTAAGATTTTGTAAATTGTCATTATTATTTAATACTGTAATTTGTATATCTTGATAATTAATATATTTGTCTGATTATTTTAAGAAATTAATTTTAGTTACTATTTGAAAAAATGATTATTTAATTATTTTGTTGAATATTAATGCAATGCACATACCGTTTTACTAGTGTGTGTGTGTGTGTATTATAAGTAATTTAAATTACAGTAGGAGCTATAGTTTTTTCGGAACATTAAAAAAAAATGAATTTAGCCTTTAGAGAACAGTGAGTATATAGTAAAAACTACAGTAATATATAGTACAACGATTCCTTACTCAGATATGATTTACGGGAATGATGTAGTCTTGGTACAAAGTTGCCGAGAACTCACAGGTTTGCCAAAAACATAGAGGAGAAGTTCAAGACTTGCTCAAATGGAACAGTCATCCAAACGTACGTCATGGACGTAAATCAGCAGTCAGAAATGTTTGTGAGGTCTCATATATTGTTTCATATTTTTACCATGGAATCCCCTAATTATAAGATCAAGCAAAGAATTTTTGGTAATCTTAATTTTATAAATATTATATATATGGATCGATCCATTCAGTGACTAAGCCTCCATTAATTTATGTACATTGCATAGAGAATAATTTGATAGCTTGGACAATGTAAACTACACAAATGCATGCATCCACGTATTCTCATCTTTTATTAAGAAAACAAATGAATCAAGTACATTACTGTGAAGTATTATTAATGGAACCTTTCAAAACAAAAAAAAAAAAAAAAAAAAAACACAAAAAAAGGTATTATCAATCAATATATGGAGGATCATTGCAAAAACCCAATCATGAAAACTGTACTGACAAATTTTTCTAATTATTCTTTTACCTTTTAAAAAGTTCAAACAAACGCACACACACTTGCTATATTTTACCCAAGCTCGCTCAACCTCCCCATTTGGAGAGACTAGTGCCCATTGGTGCACCGGCTGATTTTCAGTTAACCATAGTGCAAACTTTCCTGATTTCACCGGCCTCGCCCGTAAGAACTCCAACCCTACCCATTTTAACCATAGATACACCAAAGTCCTTGAAGAAAGTAGATCCATGGGTTGTAGCTTGAAGTTTGACATAAGCTTTCGTCTCTTCGTCGTCAAGTAGAGCTGCATCTGAGCCAAAAAGTCCCCTTCTTTTCGCCACTAGTGTGAAGTATTTTTCATCAAATGTCTTGAAGCTTCCTGGATCCATCTCTACAATTGAGATCTGATCTCCTGGCTTGCATTTCATTTTCAACTTTGCTATGTAGTTGGGATCCAAAGTCGGATCAGTATCACCCTTTCCAGTGAAGTTGTAAAGGCGGTCATTGAACGAAGAACAATGAGAAATCCCAATCGTGTGTCCACCTGATTGGTGATTAAAAAAAAAAAAAAAAAAAAAAAGCTTAAATATGTAGTCCAAATTGTTCTGTGTTTAAGTACGTCTATGTATATAAGTTTTGAATAGAGCATATATATATATATATATATATTCAAGTACCTGATAGCACTACTAGGTCTTTTGTACTTAGACCTCTTTGTTGAAATCCTGATTTCAATGTGCTTACGTTTGCGAAAGGCGGTAATAAATTTGTCAAGGCCTCAATCATATTTGATACTCTTCCATCTCTTCGCCCAGTTTCAACCTCCCAGGATAGCCCTTTCATCTGATAATTAAAAGGGTTTTCACTTAAGTAGTCAGAAACATAAAGCCACAATATATACATGCAGTAATATAATAAATAAATAAATAATGGATCAAAATGGGAAAAGATATATAGTACCGCGACCGTTACATCCCTAGCTACTAGGGCTAGTATGTCAGCACATGAAACAACTCCAGGACATGCTTTCTCTAATGCAGACTTCACTTTATCTATAATTTGAAAGCCTCTAAGGCTTAGATTTGGAATTGCATCTTTTTCAGCTTGTTTAGTTGGGGAATTCAACAGCACTGAGCCTTCACAGCCCTGCAAATTAACAGTAGTAGTCAATAACTACAAGTTATTCTTAGTAAAAAATAGTTAGAAATTAAAGTTGAAACCTTGTATTTGGTACAGTACGTACCCTAACGAAACAATCATGGAAATGCATTCTTAACAACGGGCCAGAAAGACTTGGCGCTACTGACATGACTTGATCCATGGTCTTCTTAACTATGGCCTCAACATTAGGGCATGTTTTCTTGTAAAACCCGACTTTCAAGCCCTGTGCATTTGCTAGATCAAAAGAGAAAGCTAGTAAGAACAATTGAAGTAAGAAACATATTGAAATTAGCTTTGAAATGGCCATGTTAATTAAAGGACAGAGATAGCTTGGAGATGCAAAACATATGTCCAGTTTTATACTAGCTAGTTAGGGTAAACGTACTATTTGAAGTAGTTATGAAATGGTTGTCATTACATGGCATTTTAATTATTTATATATTGTTGATTCATAAGGGTCCCAGTGGGATACTTTAATTTTTTGATATACCTAACTAATTTATATTCTTAATTAATAAAGAACATAAAAAGGGATTGACTTTATAACTAGAAAATTGAGATACAGAGATGAAATGCAAGATAATTTTAAGTGTCACACGCAAACACCGGAATAATAGGCATTATTAAAGCTGCACGACGGCTCACCAACACATGTAGATCAAGAATAACTCATCAATTAATACATGTTATTGTAAATTATATATATATATATATTTTGGGTATTAAGATCAGTTGACCTTGCTGGCTGCCGTAACGTGCCTTACTCATGAGCTAGCTCAACTTCTTAAATTCTTAAACATGTTTAATTTAATTAGAATAAATCAACTAGAGAATAACACTACTACTTAAAAGGCGCCATAGAACAATGAAAGCAACATTCCAACCCTTAGTTAACTGTTGTTTAAAGCAAATTGGATTAATGCCCTAAGATATATAATTATCGCTGGTAGGCTAAAACAATTGTCAAACTGCTGATTAGGTGAAGTATAAAATTATATATATGTTTATATGTCTGTATTGTATGTTAAACTACTGATTAGGTGAAGTAGATATTCATTAATATATCTGTGATTATATGTATGTATACTGTCTCTGATCTATATTTCTTGTGGAGCTATTGACTTTAGGCGGCCCTTAGGGTGCAGACAAACGAAATCTTTCTTGCTCAGTCATTCGACTTCACTACTGATCCAATTAAGATATCGATGGATACAAGTTGTTGCAATAATTGTAATCGTGATCCTCTTTGTATGCATATTATATAATATGAATATTCTTTTCTTTTGTTCCTTTTTTTTTTCAGCTAGTAAAATTGAATTAAGAGGAAAAAAAAAAGAACTATAGAAGAGTATAGACCTCAAGAGCTGGCCCAGAAATAAACGTACCACGAACGTACACGGACCGAACAAGATTTATACAAGAGCCCAAAGCCCAATCAGTAGCTGATTAAAAGGACCAGGGAAGGCCCATTATAGGAATGCCCACCTTGTGAATATAAGAGACCGTCAATGCTTAGTGAAACTAAGGTAATTGGATTTGTATTTTGTAATCAATTCATTACATTATTCTAATGCTGTTGGTTGATTTTTTTATTTTTATAAAATTTAGTGTGCTAAAAAGCCTGTCCTGTCATGAAAACATGTGGAATAACTAAGTGAAATGGCCATTGATGGTTAGGCATAACTAAAATGCTCTAATTTGTTGCGTTAAATTCAGGTATTGGATTTAAAATTGAAGGAAATTAATTTAATGTTTTAACTAATTAATTTAAGTTTCAATTATAATTTCAAGATGTATGTTCCATACTGGGAGTGTAGATTATTGTGAGTTTAATTAGCGCAACATGTTTGAATACAAAAATTATACCAACAGCAACAGTGAGAATGTAGAATATTCAATTTTGAAAAGAAAAAAAAAAAAAATGCATAGGAGGGTTTTGTCCCTTTAATCTTAATAATATGGGTTTATTTTGTTTAGCACAAATATCTATGAAAATCTACTCTAAAATCTAGGGGTGGGGAAGCTATATACAAAGTTCCAATTCTCCTGTCAATTGTCATGTTTAGTTAGCCGACACTCCGTTTGGTTTTAATCTATGGAATGTTCACCTCACTATATTGTCCTTTTTCTAGGATAATAATGACAAGAATATATATATATATATATATATATATATATATATATATAATCCAAATTGTTGCTTCGCAAGCAGGGCAAGACCATGGCCACACCCCGTTACAGCGAAGCTCCGTAACACCCACGCTGGTAAGACACAGGGGTGGCAAATTATGATACAATAATACAATACGAGTATTTAAAAGTGTTTGGTATAAATGAGTTTAGGTTATAAAAGGGTCAATACAATTAATTCGTTTATTTAATCGTAACAAGTTAGGATTAGGGGATTCAACCTGTATAATTTGTTTATGATTTATTTAACTCAACATGTTATAATCATGAGTATGACCTATGCAATATGTATATGTTTAAACCCAATTATTATAAATAATTAAGTCATTTTAACATAAACCTTGTATATGTCTTATAATTTTTCTTTTTATTTTGAATATTTGGATTAATTACAATAATTTTTTCAATTATTTAGTATTTGATTAAATATTAAATATCTCGTTTTGATAAACAGATCATTAAACGAGTTAGCACGTTTATCTATTTAATAAACAGGGTTGAGTTAGTGTTGAGAATTCTTGACACGATTATTAAATGGGTTGGGTTTAAATTTACCTATTTAATATAATACCTTTACATCGACACGATACGAACATAACTCACGAAGGCGAATTGCCACCACTAATAAAATGTGGATTGTTGGATAAAAACCCAAGGCAGTGATACCAAATCACATTCAAGTTTTTCTCCAATTATTAATTTTCCATAAAGGCAAAGGCAGTAATATATATATTAACGTTAAACGCACCATAATAGCGTTGAAGCCCAAAAAAGCAAAAGCGGTTTGAATTTTTTGATTGTAGAAAGTGGTATTACCAACCAATAACCGCTTTATGAGAAAACATATCATCCCTGCATCATGACTTCTGAAGTTAACTCCAACCAAATTGTCACTACCAATATTAAATTGACACGTACAATTCATGATCATGATTAATATGATGTTTCAGTGGAGCTAGGTGCTAATGATGCCAACTTCATGAGACATAACACAATCCCTGTGGTGTTGGTGAGATTTGCACCGACCAAAGTATGGACCAAGTAAGCGATCGGTAGACTTGGGATATATATGCACCTCATCGACTGGTCGGCCATATATATGTGTGCGTGTATTTGAGTGTTGAGTGTGTGTGTGCAACACATGCAGTAATATGATGGTGAAGTGGAATACCACTAACACAAGTGGAAGTGGATGAATAATATATGTACTTTGCTTTTCACTTTAGACATCCAAACGTGGAGGGAGATCCAAATGGGCTGACCACCCTACAATTATTTCAGAAAAATAGCAATTAGGAGTAGAAATTATTCCTTGTGATTTTGAGCTTTGAAAATTTATCTTTTTGCTTGGGTTGAGAACCACCGTAGATCGGGAAAAAGTTTAAAAAAAAAAAAAAATTGGAGTCACTGGCACGCCACCTTGATTTAGTCCTTTATCATTAAGTTCACAATGAATATTGTCATTTAAATCTTTTAAAAGGAAATATCAAATGTTTAAATTCTCATAGGAGTACGTGAGTGTGTGAATTTTTTTTTTTTTTTTTTTGACAAAAAAAAGGTCATATAATCTCGAAGTGTTAAAATAGAATTTTGGATTAGTAGTTTATGGGCTGAGTTCGGCCTTTGAGGAATTCAATTTATATGATTTGGTTGGTGGTCCTAGTGAGTTTCTCCGCAAGAAAATATAAAAATAAAAAATCATGTAATCACAAAATGTGGAACTAGATTTTTTAATTAATAGCATACATGCTAGTTTGGTTTTGACTAAATTCAATTTATGTGAATTTGGTGGTGGGCCTCATCTTGTGGGCTCAAGAAAGATTTAAAAAATTGTGTGAGAGGAGTGTCCTTTAATAACATTAAGGAAAAAAAATTCAAACCAAGGGTAGAATTTTTTTTATAATTCTAGTAGGGACAGTATTAAAATTTTATAGACATGTAATCCAAATATATAGTAGGTGTATAATAATACAAAAAACAAAAAAAAAAAATTTCATAGGTCCGTGCTTGGTGGAGCCCCACCACCCCACTTATGCAAAAATGATTTGGCCTTCACTGAATTTGACCTATTATTTTTTACTTGAAAAGTCAAACCATTGAGTGGTATTCTCTAACCGTTTTTATAAGTTCAATAGAAAAAATAAATAAATAAATAATAGTAAATAAAAAATTGACACACGTTGCATAATTTATGGTCTGAAAATAATTTTTTTTATATGATTTGGTTGGTGTTGTCAGTGAGTTTCTTTCCAATTAAAAAATAAAAATAAAAAAGTTATGTAATCTCAAAGTGTGGAAATAGATTTATGGAATTAGTAGTATACATGCCTGGTTTTAACTGAATTTAATTTATGTGAATTGGGTGATAGGCTCCATCATAACTTTATGTGAAGAGTGGAGTTTAGAGTCAGAAAAATTATGTGAGAAGGGTAGCCTTTATCAATATCAAGATAAAAAAATTCAAACCATCGAGTGAGAGCAACAGTAAAAAAAAATTATTATTCTAGTGAGGGACGTTATTAAAATTTTATAGATATATAATCCAAAAAACAAAGAAAAAATTAAAAGTAGGTATATAATACCAAAAATAAAAATTTCATAGGTCCGTGCTTGGTGGAGCCCCACTACCCCACTTATGTAAATTTGGTTTGGCCTTCACTGAATTTGACCCACAAATTAGTATTCTTATTTTTTGATTTGTATCTGTTCGGCTTTTGTCATTTGACTTGAAAAGTTAAATTGTTAAGTGGTATTGTTTAACCGTTTTTATAAGTTCAATAAAATAATAATAATAATAGTAAATAAAAAATTGACACACCATGCATAATATATGGTCTGAAAATAAATATGTGTGTGTATATTGGAATAGGAAAATAAGTTTGGAAATGAGATGAAGATTGAAGATGTTTATCAGCAAATTCTCCAATGGAAACTTGAACTTTACGTTTGTCTCTTCTTTTTAGTTTTTATGAGGTGAAAGTATTGTGTCCACATCCTTCTATATCATGCTTGCACGCATGTTACAGATAAAATAAATGCAAACATAGCAGTCCCCATAACTGAAATCGACATTCCAATTGCAAAAGATGATTGTCTATTTACCTATATATATATATATATATATATATATATATATATATATATATATACACACACACACACACACAGATAAAATAAATGCAAACATAGCAGTCCCCATAACTGAAATCGACATTCCAATTGCAAAAGATGATTGTCTATTTACCTATATATATATATATATATATATATATATATATATATATACACACACACACACACACGTGTGTGTGTGTGTGGTGGACATGGAAATGAGTAGATTGCACAAAGGATCAACATCAATTGTTGGAGAGGGAAGTCTCTTTTCTTCTTCCCTCTAATGTGATATTGCTATTCATTTAGAACTGAATTTGTAGGCTATATCCATTTCATTTGTAACAAGTCGACAGAAGAAGGACCATATATAAGTCAAAGTTACGGCTGCACGCGAATGCCAATACTGTTGGACCATTACAGACCATCCATCCATCTTCATCATCGTTAATTTTACCTTTTATTATGTTATAATTTTTTGGGAAAAAAATAAATTAAAACCAATAAAATTCAGCCTCTAATTAAACTTTAATCAAATTACAGCATAGATAATTATATAGTTTTAGCTGAGTTAATATATAGGCCTTATAATAAGTGTGAGCTACAAATAGTAGCCACGTACGTTAAAGATGGTCAGAACTGTTTCTGAAGGATCATAAGGAAGCCGCCAATGAAGAATCCATAACATGCTCCGCACCTGTCTTCACTCATCATGTGCCTCATTATATATATATATATATATATAGTTAACCATCATATATTCTCACCATGATCAGTTCTCCCTTGCTTTCAGCTGCATATGTCTAATGTTATATATACACATATAGATATATACACACACATATTTTTATATAGTTAACCACGTGGACACAACCAGGGCGGCTCAATATAATTTGAAGCCTTAGGCAAAAAAAACTAAAGTAACCTTTTAACTAAATCTATTCATATATTTATGCCAGTAATATGCTAAGTTTAGTGATTTTTAAACCTATTAATAAATTTCGTTAATTAATTGGTTATGTGTTTTCTAATAGTCACAAAATATATAATTTTATGATAACAAAAATTATTAAAACTATAAACTAATTTAAGTTATAGAATAATAGAATGTGATTTCGAATAATTTGGTCTAATGCTCCAATAAATTCTTTAATAAAATATAAGTGTATTCAAAATCTTTTGACAGAGTGAGATTGTAAATTGTAACAGTGGAAAAGATGAAAAAAAAAAAAATTTATAATGAGAGAGGAGAAAAAATATATAAGGAGTAAGAAAAAAAGAGAAAATAAAAGTTAATAAGAGTCTTAGAAAAATATAGAAAGTTTCACCAATTTTCACTTAAATATATATTTAATATTTAGTGTGTGTATATATGCTGATGTAATGAGGATGAGAGAGAGCGAAAAAAAAAAAAAAAAAATTATATAATATAAGGATAGAAATATTTTCGGCATATTATTAAATTTTGTATTTGTTGAGGTTTAATAATATAAGAAAATAAAAGAAAAAAAAATTTCGTTAAAGTTTAAAAATTAAAGGAAATACTATAATTGTTTTAGAAAAATTATAATATATAAACAAATAAAAAATTATGGGGCCTTCTGATTAACTGGGGTCTTAAGCAACCGTCTAACCTGCTTAAGGCTTTAGCCGCCCTGGACGGAACCTTCTCACCATGATGTTTCACTCATCATGTGCCGCATGGTTAAATATATATTAGACATATGCAGCTGAAAGCAAGGGAGAACTGATCATGTGCCTCATTATATATATAGTTAACCATCATTCTCACCATGATCACTTCTCCCTTGCTTTCAGCTCATATGTCTAATATCATATATACATATATAGATATATATATCTCCCTTGCTTTCAGCTCATATGTCTAATATCATATATACATATATAGATATATATACACACACATTTTTATAGTCAACAATAATATATCATTCGGCGTGTCTGGTTACCTGATGGAATCTGAAATTTTTATAGGCACGAGATATTCAAACATATTCTGTTGTTCATCCGTGCCCCCTCTTGAATTCCATTAATATTGTGATAAAATAATTAAACACAATGAGGGTGTTTTCGTGTGTACCTACTCTCCAATGATTTGTCCCGCAAATCAAGTGTACCATTTAAACACTTCATCGAATCAAACACTTGAAAGATATATAATCCTTTAAATCTCTGTACCATGAATTGTTTTCAAGCCATCTCTTAATTACTATACTGTTGACCTCAATCCCTCCCCCCCCCCCCCCCCCCCCCCCCAATTGTTTTCTTGTACGTTTTGTCACAACTCACAAGCCTATAGTGGACTTTAAATGGAGATATAAAACTTCTCTCAATTTACTATTAATTTACCAAAAATTCAGGGAGCCATTTGATCATCATCTTCGTTCCTAAGATTCCAGCTGCATGTAATGAAAATGTTTGCCGATAATATTCAATATATTGATCGCTACCTGAGTTAGAACCATTTAATTAAGAAAAATTGTTCACTTCAAATCATAATTCGTAATCACGATATCATTTGCGATCGCGATATAACAAATTTGGATAAATATTAATGTATATCAGATAAATCAACTGATTCATAAAGGTATATAAAAATAATCAAATCTTTGAAAATACAACTCATTCTTTATTGATAAAGAAATGAATGGTGTTAAAATGAAAAACATGCATATGAAATTTTTGTTTGAAGAGTTTTTAAACTGAGAATTGATGTACTAACACATCAAGTCGAGTTTTTGTCTACATGTTTTGGCAGGTAAGATTGGACAACTGATAGGCTCCTTTTTATTATTTTCTTTTGTTTGTGCATGTGTATACTCCGTGTGTGTGTGTGTGTGTGTGTATATATATATAGCAAACTATATATCCACTTAGATACAGGGGGCTATTTAATTAGTTAACCAATCCAAGTTTATAGACTACTTAAAGTCTTAAATGGTTTCATATCAACAAGTCTACAACAGAGAAAATCTATTCCCTTTATTGCAACTTACTTTTTAGATGTCATACTAACTAATTAATCTATCTCCTAAATAACAGATGACTTTGTCATCCACAAGCTGAGAAAATACAGAGATATATAACCAAGGTACCAAAAATTGTGATAAAATGTGATTTTTGTCGGCATAAAAAAAAAAAAAAATAAAAATAAAAAAAAAAATAAAAATAAAAAAAAATCTAACAAAACTTTAAGGGTGATTCTTAGTTATCCAAATCAATCCTCTTCCTTTTTTTCTTTTTCTTTTTCTTTTATATTTATTTATTTTTGTTTGTTTTTTGTGTGATTGAGACTAGACATATAACATGAAAAAAATAAAATAAAATAACTTCAATAAAATAAAATTATCCCAAGTTGAAACTTTTAAGTAACAATGTCAAATTGAATTTTGTAGAAATAACAGAATTTTTTTTTATCATTTGGGAGATCTCTGTAATAGTAAAGTTGTGTCTACCACTTAAAAAAACCCTACGGTGCAATTCAACCGTTGAAATGGTTGACCATGTTATCATTATTGTAGACGAGAGGGCACAAGATTACACCTCCAAGTCTTAAGAAGTTATGATGATTTTCCGAATTACAGTATAAAACGTTACTATCGACAGATAACAACTCACTCACCTATAAACCACCAGCGAAGAAGCCTAAGAAGCTCCAATCCTAAATATTTTCTCTCTCTACACAAAAATATGACATACCATTCTCTCTCTAAAAATCCTATTTTCGCACCAACTCTTTCCACCTATTCTTGAACAAGAAGAATTCTCCCTCACATCCACAGAAAATATATGTCATATACTAGTTACCAGTTCATCAACAACATGTATTTCTGACTTATTTTCTATTGTTAATGGAGAGCAGTTAGTTAGCAGGTCTGAAGAAGAAAAAGACAGAAGTCACAGTTTGGTTGGTTTGGAGTTTTTTCAACGAATAGTAGCAGTTGAAGAAAAAGGAGGAATCTCATAAATATTGTCTTTTGTTTGGTTCACTGGTTTTGTACATATAAATGCGTATGTTTAACAAGCAACAAATTTGACTAATTGGGGATGCTTTTCTCATTTCAATTTTCAATCAATCATATTGTATACATCTAGCTACGTCTTTCCTTTTCTTCCATTTTCCTTCATTTTCTGTGTCTGCGAGAAAGTGGTAGAAAATGGCGGATTATCCAAAGACGGTAAGCGTCGAATTTCTTGTTCTTGTTTTTAGATTTTTGTTACTGTTCTATTGGGCGCCACCTAAAACACCAACTTTTGCTCTCTCTGAATTTCTTTTTCAGGCGCATATGGATTCCGATGCTCTGAATTCATTTGGTGAAGTCTGTGAATCAGAAGAAATGGGTACCCAGAAAATATCTGTTTCTGATCAAACAAACATTAAATCTGATAGCTTCATAGTGGACATGGAACGATTCTCTAATATCACCGATAAAGACAAAACTGCAAATTCAAGAATCACTGTAAGTTTATATTTCTTTCTTCTTCTTTTTTTTTTTTTTAAAAAAAAAAGAAAAAAAAAAATCATTTTCCATCCAATTCTTTGTTTTCTGATTATGCTCTGTTTTATTGATTTCTTTAGCACCTTGCTCTGTTTTAGATTTTTATATTTTCCTTCTGTTTCAAAAAAGAAATCATTCCTTAATTGTCTTGAGTACTAATTAATTTATACATTAAAAGCATGAATAGTAACTTTTTTGAGATAACACGCCATCGCCATTTATTGAACTTTGCTGACACTGCAATCTAATGCTTTTTTCAAACATTATCAATTGTTTTTCCTTTGGTTTATGTTTATCCAATACTTGCCTTTAAAAAAACAGCTGCAACATCATCATCTACTAATCTTCCGGCCTATACACGCATGTGTTTATATATACATAATATGTTTGAATTTGGTTAAAGTTGCAGAGAAACCTTTCACGTAAAGGGTCACCGCGAAGTGGCGAGAAGAAGAAGAATTCAACTGCTACCAATGACAAAGACATCACTCTAGTTGCCATGTCTTCACCAAGAGGTAAACCATTACTTGAGAACTAGAAAACTAAGTAATATCATGTCAATCTTCTTATTTTTCATTACATTATGTTTGGACTCTGAGCAAGGATCACACCTTTTTTATTTTTAAGCCACTTCATCCTTTAGAATATGTGTAATCATCCATGAACCACACAAATGATTCAAGTCCGATTATTTTTGCACCTTATAAGAATCGAGTTTGAGTCTATGATTTTGGGTAGATTTTACCTAAGAAACTCCTTGTCCGCTGGGCTACCCGTGCGGGTTAACAGTGTCTCTTTTATGAACCCATAGCCTTGAAAAAAGAGAGAACTCGATTCTTCTACGAATTGATGCAGTCTTGTTCGATATATATATATATATATACACACACACACACACATACATATAGGCATGTGGCACATGATAGGCCCAACACAGGCTTAAATGGGGATGGAAATCCTCGAATATTAATTGTTTTTATTGTGATAAATTTGGGATTATGAATTGGGGTGTGAGGTACAGAGATGCAAGATGGAAGATAGAAATATATAATTAAACATAATTCAAATTGGTCGTGCCAAAATATGCACCATACCAACCTGTTCCTGGCTTACATAATGATGGGGTGTCTCTCATCTCGATGTGGACATAGCTGTATTATCATTTATGAATTGATTGATTTATTAGTGAGCTAGTAGTAGTTTGCATGGATGTGATTAACATTTATGCATTAATTAATCAATTACTTAACATTCTTTAGCGGGACCTTCACAGACGTGCAGAGTTCATGCGCTTCCATTACTATTTTCATTATTCTATTTTGTTGTAAAGTAAGACAAGACTCCACAAAATAACAAGGGATGAGCAGGCACATCAAATACAGTGAGAACAGGGTTAGGGTTACACATAGTTTCCTGGTTGAGATAGCATCATCATAATCATTTGTAAACCTTGGTAGGGTAGTTGTCTCTTAAAGAAGATAAGGTTCGTAGAGAACAAACAGAGTGTGTCTATAATGCAATTAAAACTTGGCATAATATATAGACACTATATATATATATATATATATATATATATATATTCATAATGTAGTTTGATTCTTTCCAGATCAAGTCTCTCCTGCACCGGACTAGTCCCTACGTGTATTATTGACATTTAATAAAATTGATCTACAAGACAGAATGTCATTACTTTTTGTTACTACTTCATACTTGGATGCATGTGCATCTGCACTGTAGGAACATTTTATGATGGGAAGATAGCAGATTCGTATATTCTGTATTGTTGTATATAATTTGTAACATTAAAATTTGCAGCTGCTTTAAATGGGGCTAGCATTAGCACGCCTGAAAAGTCCATGGTGGTGACGGTGGGGTCCACGGATCGTTCTGTCAACCCTCAACTCCATCACCAGATCACTATCGTGACCAACAACATTGGCGGCACCACCCCCACCGAAAGCAAATGGGGTGGCAGAAGATTCAGTTTCAGACGCTCTTCTCCTTCTTGGGCTATTGATCCTAGGAAGATCCTCCTCTTCTTCGCCACCATGTGAGTTTAACATAAGCTCAATTATTCGCGTGATGTGGCTTCTTAACCGTGTACCATTGGAATACTCAAGGTGGTTTTTTTATCTGACAGGTCAAGCATGGGAACTTTAGTACTGATTTACTTCATACTTTCCATGAACAAGCTTAGTGAGGATGACAACCCTCAATATCGGTAGCAAACGAAAACAAAACAACAAAGATGATAGTGGTGTCCCTCCAATGAAAGCAACTAGCTTGGTTTGACAAAAGTTGTGGCAAAATGATTGAAGGGAAGGGGTAAAAAAAAAAAATGGAAGGGAGGAAAATACTGGGATTGAAAAGCGAATAGACCTTCCATTCGAACTCAGCACTTTGCTTTTTCAGGCCGGTTATATTATATATTCTTGGCGATGAAGACAAGGAATAGAGCACTATGACAAAGATAGGGAATCTTGATTTATATATATGAATGTAGGGATCAAAACACATGATGTGGGTTACCTTTTGTCTTAGTTTTATGTATCTATCTCAAGCTCAATCTTAATGGAGGACAAGAAAGTTACTTTTGCATGCTTTATTCTTCCTTTATCATTTCTTCCATAACTTTATTCAGTTGGCCACTTTTGCAGTCCAAAACCTAAATATTTCTTTTTGTTGTATGTGGGTTTCAGGTGAGTAGGAGGCAAAGAGTGAAACAATTACCTACTCCCTACAGGCAATGAAGTATATATATATATATATATATATGCATGTGCATTGCACTTCATGCACTTGTATTTTTGTGAAAACAATGAGGTGTTTGGACTACTTAGGTGAGGCAGAGAATGCTACTTAATCTAAGTTCAGATACTTTGAGAACTTCAAAGTGAGAGGCAAAACATAAACATATAATTAAGCTGCACAATAGCCAACATAAAGCACGAGGTAAACTGAATATCTTCTCTTTAATTTTTGTGAACTGAATGAGCATATATGACAGTGAACTTCACTTAAAATAAGAAAGATTACAAAAGCAGAACATTAAATCCAAAACCCTAGGGATGCAAAACACGAAGATTTGAAACCCTTTTGCACCTTAAATCAAATACTTTGCAGTTCAAGATATGTGCAAATATACACACTTAAAACAGAAGTTGTTCCCCCTAACTCATGAGAGCCAACATTATATGGGAGTTGTAACACATCTTACCAAAACACTCAGCTTTCCAGGAGTGGAATTGGTTTCAGCTTTTAAGAAGTGGAATGATCTAAATAAATACTCATGTTGGTGTTGAGCAGCCACTTCACCTTTTAAATAACTGGTTCTCAAATTGGGTACGCTGTACACCAAATAAACTGTCTCTGAAAGTGTATACTTCTATCCATAAAAGAAACTTGACCTAAAATTTCTGTAAATTATTAAAAATGCCACCATTAAAAAATGACCTAGACTGAAATGGTCTTCTCACTGAATTTAGTAACTGAGGGCAAAATCGAAAACAAGAAAAATAAAAACAAGTGTCACAAAAATAATTAACGGGTTGGGCACTGTTGCACAAGTCCATGCTTAGATACAATAGAGAATCCATTATCCATGAGAATTAGGATAACAAAATTAAGTTTGGTCATCACAACTCTCTTCAGCCCAAGACTCAATGTTCCCAATTCACTAAACCCCAACTGATAACCCCCAGCAAAGTTGGGGATTTACTAGTTTCAGATAATAATTTGAATACAATTTCCATATAATAATCTTTAAAGAGTAAAACAGTAGAAGCGTTTGAAAGAGATGTAGGCAATCCATGGGTGGAGTCTACAATGAGGAAATTTAAGTTTTTACTGCTGATTTCACTGTTTTTGGATCTTGAGAGCGTGTTTAAAAATTTAGAGCAACCACTTTGGGCAAATAATGCCAAATGTTTTGCAAAAATAATGCAAGGATTATTCATCGGGGAAAAAAATGCAAGTATTGGGACTTCGGACTGTTTACAATCTACCAACCCTACCATCCTCAATTAATGGGGACCACCACACTGGCTAAGATCATTACTGCTGAGTTATTTGCTTTTTGGATTAAAGGCACGTTTCTGGTGTCTATAGATCATTTGTTGGAGTTCAGGATGCTTGTGATTTCTTTAGCTTTTGATTGCCTTCTTTGTATATTTATTGTGTACGTGCTGACAATTTAATATCTTTGGCACATTTTAGTCACATTTTACTTATATAAAGTACCTGAGTGCATATAAACCATTTACATATTTCAGTATATATATAGAAAGACAGAGCAAGCACAAGGTTTTTACTAATTTCATAGTACTACTAAACATATGGAGATTTTGATGTCACTCTAATGACAGTTGACATTTTGCCACAAAATAACACATCATTATTAGTCAATTACACTATTAAGAAAAAGAAAAAGAAAAAAAAGCAAAGCAAAAAAAATTGAAACAATTGGTAGTTATGAAAGATGTTACATTTTTGGATGTGCAAATTTCATAAAGAATTTGATTGGATAAATGTTCAAGTTCTTAATTGCTTTCTTCACTAATTTTCAGTGATGCTCTCTCTCTCTTAACTATCAAGACCATAGCTTTGAATATGCAACATGATGTCAAACTTTATTTGGTTTCAAGGAAATGGAGGCTTTATCTTTTACCAGAAAAAAGTTATAATTTATTTATACACACATAGGAAAGCTTTCAGTTCAGTCTGGATGGCTATACTCCATTAACAAAAAGCAGGTTGGCTAAAAGCAATATGGTTTATTAACATAACATTTTAAAGCCATAATTTTTAGCCAGATTTCACCTGAGGGAGCAGTAATAAGTATGACACATGCCCCTTGTCTGAACTATCCTTCTCATATGCTACAACCTCGGTTCAACTAGAGAACAGGTCTCCTTTGTTCAGCTTCAGCATCTTACAAGCATGCCAGAGGACAAGAACTTACCATCTTTAGTAGCGCTTTGAGATTCTTGGCATTGAGCATTTGTTCTTCCGGTCCTGGTACAGCCTCAGAACAACTGCTGCTGTTTCTTCAATCGCTTTCCCAGTCACTTCTGCAACCACAGCAAGTAACAACATGAGAGATTGAAGCAAATTATATATACCTGTAAACCTCCACTGTCGCATAGACATCTCTAGTTTATCATTTGGAACTTCTAGATGGTATTTAAATCCTCATGTCTAGGACTCAGGGACTCAGGGACTCAACAAAATACAACAGAAACTTCTATGCACTCACCAATAACCGGCCAAGTTGGATTTTGTGCAAAAATCCTGCCAGCATATTCCAACTCCCTTCTCACATAGTCCATGTCCGAATAGTTATCCTTTACTTCTTCACTGAAGCCCATGCTCTTCGCTCTAGATCTTCTGATTGTTTGCAATATAACTGGATTTATAGTCAAACCAAAAACCTTCTCTGGGTCTATCTCAAAGAGAGTCTTCGGCAACTCTATACTCATCACAATCGGCACATTTGCCACTTTGTATCCTTTCTGTGCCAGATAAATTGATAGAGGTGTTTTCCCAGTACGAGAGACACCAGCGAGAACAATGTCAGCCTTGTGCAAGTTTTGAGGTGAGGCCCCATCATCTTGTTTGATGGTAAATTCAATAGCTTCAATTCGTTGAAAGTATTCCTCAGAAAGAGGGATATTCCTGCCTGGAGCACCACGAGGAAGGCCAGAAGGCGAGACGCCCAGATGGGAAGCAATTGCCTCCGTAATTGGGCCTAGTATATCAGTGGATGGTACACCCCATAGCTTGCATGCATGCCTCGCAGATTCAGCCATGGAAAAATCAGCTAGAGTATAAACCAACATTGCACCTTCTCTAGCTGCTTGCTTTACAATCTCCATTAACCGCTCCACATCATCAATCTGATACGTAAAGAGTTATTGCAGTTAACCAATGACAGGAATGTCGATAGATTTAAACAAAAATATATTGAAATGTAAACAACTTAAGTGGTTCATATTATCATGGCAATCTAGTCAATATACTATTAAATGATTGGAAGTTATTTCTTTCTGAAGAATGAGGTAATTTGAGGTGTTTAAATCACAAAATCAGAGTGCTTGTTACAGAACACTATATCCTGGATAAAACTTGTGGACCAGAAGACATAGTTTCTGTCCATTCTTTAATTAACGCTAAAACAGGTCTATAGGCAGTAACAAATCAAACAGGTTAGGGTTGAACTAATGCAACTTATGAGGAATTGAAATTTAATGCATTCTAGAATTCCTATGATCTGAAATAAAGTACTGAGCTACATCACTGGATCCCTCTGGTGGTGAAGATAAATCCAGAAGCAACTTAATAGCCAAAGCCCCATTTTGAGAAAATTGTAGGACTTGCACAATCCATATAACGACTATTAAATTTAAATTGCTAGTAAAATAAGAGGAATCAGTTAGTATATTGAGACATGAATGGATAAAGAGCATGTCCAGAGTCGTTGGCAACTAACTGCTCTAAAAACTTGTGTTCATTACTCAAAAAAAAAAAAAAAAATTTAAGAACTTCTAGCACCAAGTTGATTGACCTGCTGCAACCCATTGCTTGGTTTAGACACTGAAAAAGTGTGAAAATACGTGTGCAAATTTGAGGACACTCAACATTCCCTCCCAACATATGCATGTAGAGAATCAAAATTTGGTAACCTAGGAATAAGCAACAACAATGAGTAGTAGGTAATGGGTTTTGCTAGCTTAACAAATGTAGTTCTGTCCAAGTGATTTAGGGAATCATTAATTCCAACCAGTATTTGGAAGCTGTAAATGAACCAAGCTATTCAGTAGCTCGGTTTGAGCTCGTTTGCAAAGCAAATGACCCTGAGTTTGATCTTGCTTTTTAAGCATGTTCAATGAAGGAGCCAAACTTACGGCTTGGCTCGTTAGGCTCGTAATGAACAAGTATCTCTGAACAGACTCCTTTGATCAATTTTCTTTGCTTATCAATCTTAGTCCTAAGCTCGAGCTTCAAGCAAAATAATGAACTCGAATCAAGCTCGAAAGTGATTAAACAAGTCAAACAAGCTTGACAGGCAATGTTCATCACTCTTCTAGTCAGAATCCAATCTATTGACATTGTATCATCATCACTTATTTTAAAAGTCATTTTAATTTTATATAGAATATGAATGCAAGCATTGGCATTTCAGCTCAACTATAAGACGAAACTGTAATTTCAGCTCAATAAAGGGCAAAAATCTTGCCTTGCGCAGCAGAAACCAAAGATTTTCCACCACAGGCTTTAAGCTCAGATAGAAACGAAAACACATACTTACCCCCGAGAACAAATGGGTATTTACAGGACAACCACGATCGACCAAGCAGTAATCGAACTGCCCTAACGCCGCGTTAACGCAGTGCTCCGCTGTCCACCCCGTGCCGTCAGATACCATGTATATCGACTTCCCCATCGCCTCCACTTCATCGTTTCCGTCACGGTTGCCGTCGCCTTCCACCGCCGGAGTAGAAAGAGGAAACGCTGTCTCTGCCGGGTGATCCGGAGATTTCGTCTCCATACTTTGGGTCCGGCGACCTGGACGGTCTAATTTGTGGCCGGACCGAATGGCACGAGCCCTGGACCACCGGTTCAGTTGAGAACTGGCCTTGGGTTTCCGAACCTGTGGTTCGAGTTCAGGTGTTTGATTGTTGGAATTGGTAGCGCGAGACGAGGGTTTTGTGGGACTGGAATTAGGTTCCGTAATAATGGCCGAGGTCGGCGTGGTGGGCATATTCGAAAAGCTGAACGTCGAAGAGGAAAACATATCTTCTTCTCTTGTGTTTTTTTTTCTTTTCTTTTCTGTTTTTTTCTTTCTTCTTTTTTAAAGTTTTCGAGAAAAATAAATTGGGTTTTTAGCTGGAAAATTTCGAAAAACAAACTGGAAATGGAATGAAAAAACGAAAGTGAACAATAATTTACCAAAAAAGAAAAATGAAGAAAGTGATCAGTAATGACTTTGACCCGGGAATGACTCCCAGACCAAAAATAATAATAATAATAATAATAATAAAATAAAATTGTTTAAAAAAAGACACCCCTATCCGGTTGCATTCGTCCCTTTAACAATTTTTTATTATTATTTTAATAAAGCAATAAAATTAGAGTATTAGTTTATGAAATCTTTGAAATGGCAAAATAATAAGATATTAGGATTTGTGTAATTTAATTTTTGAGAAATATTTTAACATTTTTAGTATTACATAGAGATTTTTAAGTAAATATTAATATTAATGTAAATAGGAGTGTCCATTGCACAAAGTTCTTACTAGTTTGTTCATAATTAAATTATTCCAAATTCATGGTAATACTGTAATATGGTGTTGTGGAACAAGTTTATGTTGGGAGCAAAATAATTTCTCACCCATAAAAGGAATGTTTATCATAGAAACTAACCAAAAATATATATAATATACATTTTTACAAGCTATTATTACCTTCATTTAGCACAAACAAAATTAGATCATGTAAAATTTTACTTGCAAAAATAATAAAAGACTATTTAAACTTGTAACTTAATTGTATTTATTTTTTTCAAAATTAAAGGTAAAAATTTAAATATTTTTACAAATATTGTAATAATTATTTATCAAAAAACATAATAATAGTAAACGTAACTTTAATAAAAGACTATTTAAACTTGTAACTTAATTGTATTTATTTTTTTCAAAATTAAAGGTAAAAATTTAAATATTTTTACAAATATTGTAATAATTATTTATCAAAAAACATAATAATAGTAAACGTAACTTTGAGTCTTTGAATATGGTAGGAGTTGATGCAAAGAGTGTGAAATAGATGTTTTAGCCAAAATAGATATTATCAATTTTATTTTTTTTAATATATTCCGTACTTAAAAGTTTATATACACTAGAGCATACTGGTATGTAGCCTGGTCTATATAACTATAGCGCGCGAAAATTGGCAGCAACGGAGCCTGTCGCAGCCGTCCTCCGATACTTGAACGCGACGGAGCTTCCTCTGCTCTGCTACCTCTCTATTCCTTTTTTCCACCGATTCACAATCAACACAATACCAGTTAGGGTTAGGGTTAGGGTTCCCCAAATTCAATCCTCCCTTTTCTCCAGACTTTCTACAAACCAACACCACCACTTACTTTCCCAACTCCTCTCCCAGTACAAGTCGGTCTCGAAACTTCTTCTCTTCACTCAAGTCTCATGCAATGAACGATTCATCAATGGCAGAGTCTTCTCAGGTCCTTCTCTTCCCTTTCCCTCTATCTATCATTTATGGCTTTGTAAAACCTTCAACTTATATTATGGGTATATATATATATATATATGTGTGTGTGTGTGTTAGTGCTAGGTTTTTGTCAACTGATCATATTTTTTCCGACATTTTTATGTAAATGTAAAAGATTGGATATTTGGTCCCCCTTGATAGCAAGCTAGATGATGACATTTCAATCCCCAAAATACCACTTTCCCGAGGCCGTAATGTTGTCGGCCGCGATAGCGTTCCAGTCACCGACAAGAGACTCAGCCGCAAACATCTCACTATAAATGCCTCTGTCGACGGTTCTGCTCATGTCCTTGTGGTAATCATTTCCGTACTTTCTTTTAGGAGTAATATTTATGCACATACATATGTGTATTGGAGATCATTTTATGCTAGGGTTTGATTAATCCATAAATTCAATTATGATTCTTTCAGTTCATTATTCTTGAGATTTTTTTCTTGTCAAAGAAAAGTGCATGTATATATATGTCTGTATAAATGTATACACTTGACTCAGTACAAAATAGCTTTCGTGTAGTCATATGGGATTTGGTTGCTTTTATTTGATGTATTGAAATTGATGGAATTTAGGAAGGGTCAAATCCGGTCGTTATTAGATCTGGGGATCAGAGGAAGAAGCTGTTGTCTCAAGAAAGGTTGACAATTAAACCCGGTGATGTCATTGAGCTGATCCCTGGCCATCATTTTTTTAAGTATGCAGTGTCAGCCGGTGAGGAAAAAACAATATCGCCCAATAACCGGAAGAGGACTTTGGATAAAGCTACCAAGCTTAGTGAAGGTGAGCCATCGGGTCAGAAGAGGATGCGGCAACTATCTAAAGACGAAGCATTTGCAAGACAATTGCAGGTATCATGTTTTTGAACTTCAATTCATACCTGAAAAGAGCTTTATAATGACCAAATAGTGGGCGCGTCATACGCAGACAAGATTAGTAGCGAAGAATGGGGTTTTGTGGGATTTGTTCTCTGTTTGTTACCATTTCTGTGTCCCTTTTGATCTGCACAGGCTGAGATGGACAATGATAGTTTAAACCAAGAAAGGTCTGTTGAGGCTATCCGGCATTTTCACATTTCAAATGAAAAATTACCTTTAACCTTTCGACTTTTGCGAGTGCAAGGGCTGCCGGCATGGGCTAATACATCATCTGTTTCTATAGGAGATGTGATTCAGGTAACAAGTCTGTGTTTTGTACAATGAAAGTAGAAAAGGATGAATATTTGCTGCTTCCTTTTTTTTTTCTTAGTTAAGGAAGAATATTTTCTTTATTATTAAAGAAAATTAAAGATTTGGCTCCTTTCTTAGAAATAGATTTTATTAAGTGTGAGAAGTTCGCAAGTCCTGCCTATTCCCAGCTCAACAACAATTTGAATTGAATCCTCAGCCAATCTCTGGATTGTGTTGAGTGTATAAATATTTCCTGAATACTGCACTCCCTGGAATGGCTTAAATTTTTTTTTTTTTTGCTTATTTGTTGGGTAGGGAGATGTGCTCATTGCTGTGCTATCAAACTACATGGTGGACATCGACTGGTTGAATTCTGGTAAGTTTTGTTTCGTATAATCTATAATCCTTTCTTTATTTATATGCATTATCTTGATTTTTGCTTTATTGCTCCCTAACCCTGATGTTATCAGCAATCCTCTAATTATTTGAATTATATGTTTTATTTATGTGTTTCGTGGCTGCTATTGTTTATGATGAAAATGTTATAATTTACTACAAGCACTCCGCTCAGGCGTTTAAGTATCATTGGAGGGACATTGGGTTGAAGATTTATGGGGAGGTGAAGGCTACTCTCGTCAGGCACATGCTGTTGGAGTAACAACAGCAACCAAAAAAAAAGGAAAAAATAATCACAAACAGAGATAGAACAAAAAAAGTTATGCTTCATTTATAGTTTTCATTGCTACATAAGCAGGTTCGGGACTCCTTGCCAGTACAAGGCACATTCTTATCACTTCAGATTTCTTCCCCTTTTATTGCTATACTCTGCTTTGTAGTTTCTACTACCATGATTTGCATTATTCTAAGGTCTCTGGGAGTTGTGGGGTGCAATTCCTATAGACTTGGCTATTTCTTTTGTAATTTGCATTGACCTGTCTCATTATTCACCTGTAATACGTGGGATTTCCTTTTTGGTGTAGCATGTCCACCACTTAAAAAGGTTCCTCACGTGTTGGTTATTCATGGAGAGGGCGATGGTACCCTAGAATATATGAAGGTCTGCACTCTCTAGCTCTAAGATACAATAATCTCAATTTATGGATTTGGAAATTCTAACATGAACGTCAAATTTTTTGGTTGGTTGATTATTTTTTCAGAGAAACAAACCTGCGAATTGGATTCTGCACAAGCCTCCACTACCCATTTCTTATGGGACACATCATTCAAAAGCCATGTTTCTTGTATATCCTCGAGGAGTGAGAATTATTGTACATACAGCAAACTTAATACATGTTGATTGGAATAACAAAAGTCAAGGTTTGTGGATGCAAGATTTTCCCTGGAAAGATCAAAATAATCCAAGTAAAGGATGTGGATTTGAAAGTGACCTAGTTGACTATCTTAGTGCATTGAAGGTACTAATGAATGTAACTTGTTATTCAGTCCTGAAGTTTGGAAAGGCACAAAGAGACAGTCTAATATAGCCTGAAGTTTGCATGATTTACAGCATCTAATGTATCCTTTTCCTTCATCAATTCTATAGGAGAGACAGTCTTTTAGTATGTCATTTGCCCCAATAAAGTTTACATCTTTGACAGATAATTTTCTTCATGCACGACAACCTTTTCTTTAGTTATCATCATTTTATTTATATATTTTTTTCTGTAGTTATCATCTTTCCCTTGATGTTTAATATAATTTTTCAAACTATTCCACTATGATGTTTTTATTAAATTATGCAACTTTTCAGTATCACATATGTTTCTCAGTAAATTTTGTTTTCATTAGCTCCAACTGGCATCCTTATTAGTTTGTTTTGTTTAATATAAACATAGAATAATAGTCATAAATAGTTGTATGCATAATTGATTTCCATGCATGTATTCATCCTTAGTCGAAGTGGAATAATGTGGACTTCTTGTTTGAATGTTTACTGTAACTTGAACTTAGTATTCCATGCGAAAGGTGTGGCAAACAATTTTCAGCTGCCTAATGCTTTTTTTTAATTATTATTTTACTTTTTATCTTTATAGTCTTTATAGGTCATATTTACAGATCTTGTTGACCTTCTCTTTTTTTCCCCCTTTTGAATATTTACAGTGGCCTGAATTTAATGTTAATTTACCAACCCTGGGCAACATCAGAATCAATTCATCATTCTTCAAGAAGTTTGATTACAGCAATGCTGGGGTATATATTTGATTCTCATGATTTTTGAAAATTTTGTTTCTTACAGTGCTATTATATTCTCTTTGTGAAGATACAATGGAAGATAGTGCATTTTATTCTTACTTTGATATATCAAATTCATAGTGTGCTACTTGAGAGTTGAGATAACCCCTGGGATGTAGATTTTAAGACTTGCAATAATGATATGTGCCTGTTGGTATAAAAACCACGATATATTTGGCATACAGTTTCATTATAATTTATTGCATTATAGTCGATAAACCTTCTCTTTCGGCATATTAGTTAAGATAATATATTTATAATTTGGATATATATATATATATATAGGTTTTTGGGGTCGGGTTAAGCTACTGCAGTAGAAGCGCACTTCAAGGGAAGGAGAAATATGATTGGCACAACTTCATTCTGTACCTGCTTTTTGCTAGTACTGTATTTGTATATCTTTTACATAAATTATTTCCATAAAGCCCGTGGAGTATTTTGTGGGCCTCAACTTCAATAAAGTGTCTGAACTTTTGATTCTGAATAGTGTGAATTTTCTTGTGAGAAGTGCGGTCATGTAATTTGAACTCTACTAAAATATGAATAATTTTATTTTCATAATTCCCAGGTCAGGTTGATTGCATCTGTTCCTGGGTATCATACAGGTCCCAATCTGAAAAAATGGGGACATATGAAGTTGCGTACTATTCTCAATGAGTGCATTTTTGACGAAGAATTTCAGAGGTCCCCACTTGTCTATCAGGTATTGCCTGCTTGGCTGGTATGGCATCACATATTTCGTTATGATAGTGTTATTTTGCTCATATGCTTGTATACGTGCTATATTCATTTCTGTCTTTTTACTTTTATTTTCCCCTTCTGTTCTACATCATACGAGTTATGACTATTCTATGTTCTGTATACTAGACATAAATTCCTGGTGCAGGAAGAGCAAATGACGGATGATAAGGTAAGAGGTGAATATATACTTGGGTGATCATAGTTGTGTGCTACCTATATAGTCTGAAGGACCTGTACCAATAGAAATATCTTGTCTTTGCGTCTAGATGAGAATTAGGTTTTGGACAATGTTTAAACAGAGGGACTACAATGAGAAATAAGCATGTTGGCACATGTGTCAAGTGCAAAATATTGTGGAACTAGGTCAATAACAGTAATCACCATTTTACTATTTTACGTATGAGTAGTTTGTGCTGGTCCTTTCATCCGATCAGCATACTATTCTTGTACATATTATGTTTTATGAATTTTGTCTGAAGTCCCTCATATTATGCAGTTTTCGACCTGGTCCTTTCATTTAATTTTATGCTGCTGATACTTTTACTCATAATCTGTGAAATAGGGTTTTCCACCTGTATTGTACTTGGTATCTTATCCCTCTATCCAGTTTGTACCTTCCTGATGAAAGAATTGTTGCATTGTAGCTGGTTACATTTTAAAACCTAGGTTCGAATCCATATGAACATACAGACACTATATATGAACTGGAATATAGTAATGCAATTATTTCAACTGTATATGGCTTCTTTTGGATGTACTTTCTAGAAAAGAATCCAGTTATGGGCTCTTTTCTGATGCTTGCACACTCTTGCCTTATTGCAGTTCTCCTCCCTAGGTTCTTTGGATGAGAAGTGGATGGCTGAGCTGGCATCCTCGATGTCATCAGGAGTGTCAGAAGATAAAACACCCCTGGGTTTAGGGGAGCCACTAATAGTATGGCCCACGGTGGAAGATGTCAGATGCTCTTTAGAGGTAATATCAATAGGTTAATCCTGTGAGACTCTTTGTTATACCTTGCATTACTTGCTATAATTCATCACGTCTTCTACAAATTTCAATATGGTTTTTTGGTGCCTAAAAAATATATGACAGCTTACTCATGCTTTGAAAAAGGAGGAATGCATAATCAATTTAGTGGGTGTCAGGGACTCATGTAATGGAGACTATAATTAACTGTAATTGATAAGATACAAAATTCATTCTAAAGAGAAATAAAGAATTTGTATATGTTCTGTTATTTATTACCGGTTATGTTTTGCCATCTGCATGTTGATCTTAGATGTTTGTTCATGCTTATGTTGTATTTTTCTTCAAGGTTCATCAAGCTTCTTCAAATTTGTAATTTGCTTTCATGTCAGCAGTTACTAACAAAGGCTGTTTTTTATCATTCACATTATCTCTAGGGTTATGCAGCTGGAAGTTGCATTCCAAGCCCACAAAAGAATGTGGAGAAGGAATTCTTGAAGAAGTATTGGGCAAAATGGAAGGCGAACCACTCCGGTCGCGGGTATTCCCCACTCCTAAAATTTTGGATCTTGATATTTATTATTGGGCCCATTCCTTAATTTCTTAAGCTTTTTAGATAATTTACAAGAACTTTGTTTAAGGAGAGGTCTAAGGTTGTCTCGAGTTCAAGTCTATTTCCATTTTTTTCCCACTTTTTTTTTTTTTTTTCTTAGTTGGTACTCACACACACATGCCTGAGGTTCGAACCCCTGACCTCCCTTTGGGAAGTAAGAGCCTAGTATCGCTAGGCCATTTTTTCCCCACTTCTTGTATTTGCACTTTAATGTTTGTTTTGTCTGTTTTACTCTCCCTCCACATACAAGATGGGTTTGCACTCGATGGATGATGTTTAGAGCTTGATAGGCCAAGGTTATTTGGTAATAGTTTGGGCTTTTGAGGTAATATATTGATATACATTTAACAGAACCATTTCACAATTTGGTTGAGATGTCATCTTTTGGCATAAATATGGACAATATTTATTATGTAAAGCCTGCCTCATGGATTTTAAGTGGAGAGTGATGAATTGTTGAGTTGCTAAGGAGTAGTTTATTTCGTGATGGCTCTGACATGAGATATGCTTACTCATAACTAGAAGCACAAGACAACTACAACCCCAGCAACTATTTCTGGATTTCAAGTTTGAGGCTTGTGGTTCTTTCTGAAGCGTTTGCTTTTGACAGCTAACAAGCCTAACATATATGCAGATGACAACACTCGTAGTTTTTGTGTTTATGTTTTCTGCCTTTTCTAAAATTTCCATTTCATTGTTTAGAGTATCTCAGTATTATACAAATTATGTTATTTTAGACTGGACCAAAGTTTAATTTTCACCAGTAGGAATGAGCAAATAACACCACCACTGAGGACATTTTAGCAATTAACACTACAAGGAGCAGAATGGCAGAAATAAAATAAATAAATGAATAAAAGGATATATGATGTAGCAAAAACTCAAGTTGTTGTGACAATTCCTTGGTGCCTAACACAAGGTATGGACCCTCAGTTTACAAGCTTAACATCTCTTTTTACGGGAAATTGGTGACCTTATTAAAAAAATTTGTTGGTAGCAACTAGTTTTTAACTACAAACACTTCCTTTTGCATTTGCATTCTTGAATAAAAAACCTTCATGCCCTTTAACTGATAACCACCAGAACTGTTGTTCGTTTAAATTTATTTTCTTTTTTAAAAAAATTTAATTGATGCAGATATTGGTTTTCGGCAAGCTTTGCCACATCCTTATGTTACTCACTAGTACTTGCATATTGATACTTGCTATTATGCTTTTCCATGTGCCAGTCGTGCAATGCCTCATATAAAGACATTCACACGTTACAATGGTCAGAACCTTGCGTAAGTGCATCTCAAACCTTTTCATGCTTCCTTAAGTTTTATATTCCAATTTTGTATTGGATAGTGATGCCAAGTCATTTCACTTTTAGTGATGTTTACTTATAATAAAATAATAATAATTTTTTTAAAAAAATGTCACTTTTACTGTACCTTTTTTTAATTTTATTTTATACTTTTCTCCAACAGTTGGTTGTTGCTGACTTCAGCAAATCTCAGCAAAGCTGCTTGGGGGGCACTTCAGAAAAACAATTCTCAGTTGATGGTCCGTTCTTATGAGGTATGCTTATCATAATTACCTCACTTACGGATAATTGAGGATATTTGCATTATAACTTGATGAAATTTAGAGCATCACTGCATGATATTATGAGGCTTAGTGGATATCCAAACTTAAAAAAAAAAAGTATCCATTGCTCTATAAGTTCTGTTCTACATGATATGTCTACTCTTGCAAGTTATATTTCTCTATTCTTTGCTTTCATGATGATATTGATATTTCTTCTTTTGGCACATCCCTCTGTGAACATTTTCAGCTGGGAGTGCTATTCCTAACTTCTTCTATCAAACACGGTTGTGGTTTTTCTTGTACAGACGGTGGTAACCCATCAGAGGTGATTGCTGCAAGTCTGATAACTTGTTCCGTTCAAAGTGTTCAGTGATCTTGGTTTGAAAAGATGTGATTTTATTTTTTAAATCCTTCCTCGGTAATTCTGACTCTTGTGGGTTTTTCAGGATAAATGTGAATCCTTTAGTAGTTCTAACGGGAAAAGAACAAAATTAGTGACCCTGGCTTGTCAAGGAAGCAGGAATACAAATTCAACTGAAGTAATTCAATTGCCTGTGCCTTATGAACTCCCTCCTCAGCCATACTCCTCTGAAGGTTAACCGATACTTTGTGGTCATGCTGATCTTTGATCATGTTGCTTTATGTTAATATCATTTATTTTCCGTTGCAGATGTTCCCTGGTCTTGGGACAGGCGATATTACAAGAAAGATGTGAATGGCCAAGTTTGGCCCAGATGAGTAAAGCTTTATGATTCCTAGGATTCCTGATCTCTTTGTAAAACAACGGCCAAGGTATTACAAGAAAGATGTTTGTGGTCAACCAAACGCGTTATGGAGCCTTAGGTTTGAGGAATGAATTGCTTATCGAGCCTTAAAAAGAATCGATTTCTACAGTAACCAGATATAGCTTTCATGTTCTTAGCCAAATAATACAAAATCATGCAAATTCCTCAAATCTATGCTTTCATTTCCTTTTTGAGTAACAAGATCGGTGAATTTTCTTTTTCCTCTTCAGCTCCCTTGGCAATTTAAAATCACATGTTCAATTTGCCTCACAATGTTGCAGGTGTTAATAACAGATGGCACCGAGTCACCGGCTAAATAAGAATCTCCTGTCCAGCCTTGAAATCTACCTCTCCTGTCCACATGTGGTGCCTATTTTCTTGATAATTAATTAATACAATTAAGCTCTTAATATGGTTCTATCAGATGGTTCAAAGTTCTGTCTTGGTTCGAGAGGGTCCACACTCTATCATATACGTCAGGAGTCCATTGATGAGAGTGGGCTACGCAATTGAAATATGGTGATGAATATGACCGCAATTGAAATTCTTGGGGAGTTATGTAAAATTCTCGAGGAAGGTCAGGGTCAAATGCAATTTGTTCCATTGTTTGACAACGCTGGAGGAGCAATTGCCCATCAGAAGATCCCATCAAATATTATTAAATTTGTTTCTTACTATATTTTTCTTTTTGAATTCATCTCAAGTGTTTTTTCAAGCAGTTAACATGTCAAAAATATCCAATTCACAAATGGTTCAAATACTTCCAAGTTTACCTAGGAGAGGTGAGAGTTTAAGTTCCAAAATATGCATATGTAGGTGCGTGTAAGGTATTTACCCAATGAAAAAAAAAAAAAAAAAAAAAAAGACGAAAAAATTAACTGGAAAATATATGTATATATATATATAATAGCGGATTGAGAATGCACTTTATTCCATACATTTTCCAGGAAAGAGAAATAAATAAATAAAACTTCAGATCTCAATCATTATAAGGCTGAATCTCTAAAATACGGATCAATGGAGCCCATGCATCTTTATTTATTTTTACTTTTTTTTAATCCTGACAAACAAACAGCAACAAGATCAACACAAACATTCCTTAGTTCCCAAATCCAGAATATCTCCAGGAACATAAACAAGAGCTGTATCATTTTGAATATGCTGACGAGAAAGCTGGACAAGAGCATGAGCGACTCTATTGTAATGTCAACGAACATGGCTAAGACATGAAAAGGAGAAATGCCCGAATAACACTTGCACATCAAATGGAACCCATGCATGGCCTAACTCAAATTCTCAATTAGTAAAAGGGTAAATGATTACTAAAATCCAAATTTTCTATCATGATCAATGGAACCCATGATCTCAGTTATCTCTTCACCACTTGTACGATTAATGATACAATTGTTTTGAAAATTCAAAAACTAAAATAATTCTATATGTAATGAACAGAGTGAACATTAACCATATCATATAAATGGTGTGAGGGCTACCAATCACATGAGGTTCAGAGCTTATATAATATGACAGATCTTCAATGGGGCCAGTAATGGACTGTACTTAAATTAAGATAAAATAAAATAAAATACACATCAATTTCATGTTGCTGAGTGTCAGGCAATATGTGCATGAAAGCAGAGAAATCTGACGGTACATTCAAATCGCATTGAAACTATTTTCACCTTGGCATCAAAATTTAGTTATAAGATCATATATATATATATATACACACATAAGCAACACTTGTTCAATTTGCATAGAACATTATATCTTGCATTTCTTAGCTAAACCTTGATTTGCTCTCCTGTTTGTGCACAATGGAGAGCAATACTGTATGAGCCTTTGTGTTTTTTTGTTACACTTCTAATCACGAATATCATCTTCAGAAAACCAAATATATAACTTCTTTCTGTGTTTTACAAGCCTCATATGTTTTACTATTAAGTTTAATTTTGACAAACACATATATGTAACACAGTAACAATCCCGCATATATGAGCTAATCTCTTGATTGTTTTTTTGTTGCAGGCCATTGTGGTGAACATTGTTCGTAATGGAGAACAGTATCCCGTAACAGTTTTTACGAATCAAAGCATTTTGGACATGAAACTGCTTGTACAACAACGTTGGAACATTCGTTTTGACAACCACAGCCTTGCCTACAACGGACAGTGGCTAGAGAGTGGAAGGAGACTGGACTATTACCAAGTCCCAGACGGAGCCAATATCCATTTCTGTGAAGGATTTCCTGTTGCTGTCATCAGTCCCACCGCTCAGTTTCAGCTACTACTCAAAGACACAACGTCGGTGCAGGAATTGAAGGATGAAATTCGCAATCAAACTGGCCTTATTGATTACCATGTCACAGTTCGTGTGGATGATAGGGAAATGACAGATGATACTTCTCGTATGTATATCTATGGTGTTGGTGAAGGTTCTTTCATACACGCCAAATGAACACCTATGTAGCTGCTGTTTGATCAGTATGAACTTAATTTGGTGGACTAATATATATATATATATATATATATATATATATATATATATATATATATATATATGAGCTAGATAGGGTGTGGTTTGGGAGGAGGTCTTTCTCGCTATTAGTATTTACTAGTATCATCTAGGTTTAAGAGTACGTAGCTACGTACTCACATTATCTGAAAATTATATTAATGTATGGATGGAGATGCATATGCAATTAATGAAATATAAGAATATATTATTAAGTTTTTGCATTGGTAGCAACTAGTTTTTAATTACAAACACTTCAATTTGCATTTGCATTCTTGAATAAAAACCTTCATGCCCTTCAACTGATATAACCGCCAGAACTGTCATTGTTTAAATTTATGTTCTGTAAACGGAATTTCATTAATGCAGATATAGATTTTCGGCAAGTTTTCTTGCCATGTCAAAATAAAAAATACCCAACTCAGTCACAAGTCACAAGTGGTGCAAATATTTCTGAAGTTGACAATATTGTCAATGTGTGTGTGTAAAAACAATGTCAATGCGTCGGCTCAACAGAAAATGCAAAACATTTGTGCAATGAGAATGCACTTTTTTTCAACTCTGTTAACGTTAGTGTACGTTAATCTCACAGATCCTCCTCTTTTAACTCAAAATCTCAATTATTTAAAGACTGAACAATAAATCCAAATTCGTATATGACCTAACTCAAATTCTCAATTAGTGAAAGGGTAAAGCCATTGGATCTCTCTCTTATACATGGTATGAGGGCTACCATTCGCATGAGGTTCAGCAGCATATACAATATGACAGATATTCAATGGCCTCGATGGATGGCAAGGGGGGAGCAGTTTTGGGCGGGTATACTCTCCCTCGTCCTCACAACTGTTTAGAAACTCTTGCTCCATTCCCATCCAAAACTGCCTAAACGGAGGATCTTTCCACCCTATTCCTGTTTGTTTAACTTTTTTGCCCTATGGGCACCCGCTCCACCCCATTTAGTTCCAGAATTTCTCCTCATTTTTTAAATTTTTTAAGGAAAAAAAAAATCCTTAAATACAATATATAACTATTGAAAAAAATCATAAAAAATGGGCAATCAATAATTTAACATAAAATTCAAGGATATGAGCATTCTTAGTTCATGGGGCTCTGCTGTTCATTATAACGGTTGAGAAAGTAAGTGAATTTGAAAAAAATCATAAAAAATGGGCAATCAGTAATTTAACATAAAATTCAAGGATATGAGCATTCTTAGTTCATGGGGCTCTGCTGTTCATTATAACGGTTGAGAAAGTAAGTGAATTTAACTTAAAGTTTCTAGAGTTAACTATATACACTAAAAAAATAAGGATAATTTAGTCATTTACCTACCTAAACAGGGCGGGGCGTGGTGGAGTGACGTCCCCCCATCCCCGTCCCGAACTTGCGCGGGTTTTCATTCATAAAAATCATTCCCGCCCAAATAAGCTAAACGGTCCCCCAAAATCACTATAAACGGGTGCGGGGTGGGATAGGTACTCGTCCCAGCGGGGCAAATTGCCATCCTATCAATGATGGACGATAGCCAAATTAATTAAAGCTAAAATAAAATAAGAAATCTTTTCTTCCTCATCAATTTCATGTTGTGTAGTGTCAGGCAATATGTGCGTGAAAGCAAAAATCTGACAATAAGAATCACATTAAAACTACCTTCACCAATGGCATGAAAATGTAGTAATAAGATCAGATATATTATACGCAACACTTATTCAATATGCATAGAACAGTGTATATATATGTTGCAATATTTCTTTGCTGAATCTTGATATTAATCTCTTGTGTTTGTGCACAATGGACCTGGAGAACAATCCCGTATGAGCTTTAGAGAATATAACTTGTTTTTGTGTGTTTAGTCTCAAGTGTTTTATGTATATGTAACAGTGTGTTGATTTTGTTTTTGTTGCATGCAGAGCATTTTGGTGAACATTGTTCGTGATGGGGAACAGTATCCTATACTAGTTTACACGAATCAAAGCATTTTGGACATGAAACTGGCTGTACAACAACGTTGGAAAATTCATTTTGACAACCACAGCCTTGCCTACAACGGACATTGGCTAGAGAGTGGAAGGAGACTGGACGATTATCAACTCCCACACGGAGCCAATATCTATTTCTATGGAGTTCCTGTTGCTATCATCACACCCACCACTCAGTTTCAGCTACTACTCAAAAACACAACGTCTGTGCAGGAATTGAAGGATGAAATTCGCAATCAAACTGAACTTATTAATTACCATGTCACACTCCGGGTGGGTAATAGGGAAATGACAGATGATACTTGTCGTCTTTTCACCTATGGTGTTGATGAAGGTTCTGTCATTCACGCCCATTTTTTAGCTAACTAGCTAGCTGTTTGATATATATATAATACCCTAGTACTATAAAATATATATATATATGAGATAAATAAAGTGCAGGGTATGGTATGGTTTAAGAGCAGTTTCTAGCTATTAGGATTAACTATTATCTAGCTTTAATTAAGAGTATGTAGCTACTCTCATTATCTGAAAATTATATTAATATATGGAGATGCATATCCAATTAATGAAATATTTCAATATTTTAGTTTATCTTTTAAGCATGTATATATATATGGTTCCAATGCATATTTGACTTAAAAGGATTTGCATAGTTCTGTCCACAAAAGTTCATGATAATAAAATGCGGGCAACCAATAAAGAATTTTATTTAATTTGTGCAATATTAGAGAAAAAACTAATTATAAAAAAATATAAAATTAAAAAAAAAATAAAAAAAACTCAAATGGTCAACAACATCTCAGAAGGAGCAAGAATAAAACCAACCAAAAACAAAGAACAAAGTCAGACAGACCCGTGTGTTTTTTTTTTCCAAAGATTAGTCAAACAGAGTTACCAAACAAAAGACTAATAGCACATGAATGATAATGATAAAATTTCGGTTATAAAGCGATTGTTTAGAGGAGTTTAATGCTGCTTAGCCAAATTTTTATTAGAAGTTGTTTGTGAAACATAATCAAACTTATATGCACAATAATACTTGTATAACATTCAAATACAATTTTTTTTTTTTAACAAATAACACTCAAATATAGATATCTACATGCCTAATACATACAGTACATATAAAGCTAATTCAAAGGGCCGTTTTTAAGTATTTATAATTATTTTATGAATCTAATAAGAATTAGAATTAGAATTAGAATTAGAATTAGAATTAGGAATGGAATTAACTTTATTACCCTTTTACCAGAACGTAAAATTCAGAGTGTTGGTAAAGTGGAGCCCAGGTTGGTGAAAAAAGTGTGTGGTCAAGGAAAGACGACTTGTCCGAAATATAAGTTGGGTTTGGCCGAGTTCAGGTAGATTAATCTAGAATTCTAGATCCAACCGCAAATTTCTCTCTCTCTCTCTCTCTCTCTCTCTCTCTCTAAACTTCTCTGTTCAGATTTGTTTCGTCTTTCAACGTTTTCTTCATCAGTCGATTCCATCTTCGGAATTCGTATCAGGTACTTTGATTTGCACACGCACATATATATGTTTATTAAATCAGATTTTGTTGTTGTGATCTGATCGTCATCTCTATCAATTAAATTCTGTAGTGAATTTGTTCGAATCTCTCTCCATCTCTTTTTCTTTGATTCTTCTTGGAGTTATTCTGGGGTTTTCTTGATCATAGGGTTTTGGTTTTTCTTTTAATCGCGACTTCTATTTTCTGGTCTCAGTTTGATAATTGATTCATCATTATATTTAAAAATTGTAACTTTTTGGTGAATTTTGATAATTGATTCATGATTATATTTAAAAATTGTGACTTTATGGTGATTCTATCATTTATTTCACAAATATTGTTATTTTGAATCCCTTTATCTTTCTTAGACTCTGCTATGTTTTAAATAAATTAGTTCTCTCTGTAATACACACACACACACAAATAATGCGAACCAAGAACACAATCAAGAAATTGATAGAAAAGTAAACATGCCACACACAAAGATTTACTTGGTACGGCAAAAAGCTCTCTTTCTGACACCCCAAACCCTAGATGCCCTTGTATAATAGTTCTAATCTGTAGTGTTAATTTTGATTGTCATAATTGGGATCTTCGTAGGAAATTAGGTTTTAGTATTTAGATTGCCAGGAGCTAGTAATCAATGGATAGAGAACAGGAAGAAGGTTAGGGGTTTGGAAGGGCAAAAGGCAAAAACAAATGTTGCATTTGATAATTAGATTCGGATTTAGCATTATTACTCTGATCTCTTGTTCAATAATTAAGCAGAAAGGTTACTTGTAGCAAATATCTATACCATCATTTGAAGGTGGCTTTTGGGCTTCCTATCTTTCTTTGAACCTTTGAAAGTAGATGCCCTTCATACAGTTAAGCTTGGACTTGGTGTCCTCGTCTCAATAAGAGAAATATTTTATTGATTGATCACTTAACTTATTCCTGTGGGTTAAAACATACTTTCTAATGTTTGGGATGCTGATGACTCATTTGGTTGATTTATGGTTTTGTTTGTGTTGTTAATGGGGGAGATTGCTTAAATACCCAGTTGATATACATGTATGTGTGTGCGCGCATGTGTATTCATACATTTGTTGTTGAGTCCTTTGGGATGCTACGGTACTACTATTAGTATTATTATTTTTAACTTTCTTCTTAGGCATTGGAGAGGCATATCCATCTTGCGTTTTTTTTTCTTTTTTTTAGCATCAGGAGCATCTAAATGCCATGAAAGAAGGGTATTGTGGGCGGCGTGCATGATGATATTTTTTTGCCCTCGCATACCATTTTTTTTTTCCTTTATTCTTTTACTTTACATTTTAGTAGTTTTTGGAATTATATACCAACTCCTCTTATTTGGCGTCATTCCTTGTCATTGATATGTAGCTGATGGAATTTTCAACTTGTTTCAGCTGAGCACTTTTGTTTAAAGTAAAGGGAATATTTGCTTATTTGTTTGGTCCCTTCAATTCTAGTAGCCAAGTTTCATGTCTGAGCTCGACATCCAGATCCCCACTGCCTTTGGTATGTATATTTTATTTGTTTCATTTAGTCGTTATGTTTTAGACCTGTATATAAAAGCATGTCTACAATGGAAAAGCAATCATCTTGTATGATCTCTTACACAACTGGTTCTTTATATCATACCTTGGGCTGCAAGTTGGCAACTCAGACCAACCTGAAGTTCATAGTGGCTTGGACTTCTGTTTTTTTTTTTTCTTATTTCATTTATTTTCCTTTTATTAATACCTGAGTTGGAAAAGCAGCTCAACCCCAATTTGGGTTAAGGCTTATATAGCCTTCTAATGCGGTGCTATCAGGAAACTCTCTGCAACTCAACTGCTACCTTTTATGATACAAATTTAATATTTGTTTCTTTTATGATACAAATTTAATATTTGTGTGTGTGTGGTTGTGGTAATTAATTTTTTTGTTGTTAAAGTGATGTACAAATAATTTGATGTTAGCCTCTCCTCTTTTTAATGCCAATTCCAATCATACGGAAGTTGGACACTGCAATCATTGTAGCTGTAATTTAGCACCCAAGTATATAGTGGTACTTTATGAAGCTGTAGCACAGACATATGACATTGCGTGGCACAGCATGGAAATGTCAACATGAAAAATTTAAACAAAAAAGGACATGACACAATCGAGACAACAATTTATATAAAAATTATATTGTATGTGATGAACATTAGCATATGTAAGTATACTTTTTTATGGTCATAGCATGAAATTGGTAACCCATGAATGATAATAATCACAGTAAACGCTGCTAGATGGACAAAGGTATGTACTAAGGACACAAAAAATATGTGTATGCCTACTATGTTCACTGATAGCTTACACGACTCCTTTCATCTTCTTGCTCAATTCTTCCATAAATTATCATATATCCTACTCTATTATTCAGTGTAGTTAAGCAAAGGTTTATAAAAGAAAGTCATCCCAGCATATAAATGTTATTGGTCACATTTTAGCTGAGTACCAATAAGTGTATCACGTGTCCAGAATGAAGATTTTTTTATATTTATGAATCCACCAGGATGACAAGAAATGTTTGTGTTTGACGTGTATTTAAGCCACGACTCCTCTTTAAAGGTACCTGTGCTTGTTAGTGTACTGTCATTTGGGTCCAATAGCTCCAGAAACAGTAGCTTTTCATTTTTCTGTTTTTATGCTTCAATGAAGAACACTTTTTGATGTGTGGGATGATCAGGTAGAGAGCTATAACTTATGTTAGGATGATCATACATATGCATCATGTCAATTTATATCAAGACAAGCTAGTTTTAACTTTTGTGTTATCTTTATGATGTATTCCCTGGATGAGCAATCTGAATGAAGTGGTAAGTGTTCTTTGTATGGTGTTGACAGATCCATTCGCTGAGGCAAATGCTGAGGACTCTGGTGCTGGGTCAAAGGAATATGTGCATATCCGTATACAGCAACGCAATGGTAGGAAAAGCCTAACAACTGTCCAGGGGTTGAAGAAGGAATTCAGCTACAACAAGATACTCAAGGACCTTAAGAAGGAGTTTTGCTGCAATGGTACAGTTGTCCAAGACCCCGAGCTGGGCCAGGTGAGCATGTGATGCTATTATTACATGTCATAAAGTACACCCTCCTTTTTCTTGCTACTGCTTTGGGGCTCATATATCTAATCTTTATAAAATTACGCAATGTACTTAGGTTATCCAACTTCAAGGTGATCAGCGGAAGAACGTCTCCTCCTTCCTTGTTCAGGTAATTTTGTTGCAGCACTTGGAGGCCAGAACCTAACATTCTGCGTCATATGCATAAAAAGTCTGTCCTAGCTTATATTCATGCATAAGCAACACCCACTTTTATCATTGCACTGATCAAGTTCTTACCACACATTAATTATATGTTACAGTAATACTTTTATTAGTTTGTAAGGTCTCTAAAGTTATTTTTTCATCTTTATTGTCTAACAGGCTGGCATTGTGAAGAAGGAACACATAAAGATTCATGGTTTCTGAATAACAATACTGGCAGCATATTGAGGCGTGTGCTTTGCAACTGTTGCTGTTTCTAAGTGATAATATTAATTATATGGGGTTCTGGATATAATAGCCCTATTGCATGTACTCTTTATCTGTCTTTGTTTTTTTAAAACTGTTTTCTGGCTTTACTGTTGGCTTTGTCTTGATGTTTGGTGGTCTCATTTAAAGCTGCATCCCGTGTAATATGTTGTGAGGATTATGGGTGGTTGTTACTCTTCTGCCTTCATCTTTATCCAAAATATTATATCATTAGTTATATGGACAACCGGAATATGTTTCAGTGCTTACATTCTTTCCTTGTATCACCATTTTTACCTTTTCGCAAAACTTGCATGTCTTGCTGCCTATTAGGCTTTTGCAGTGGGTAGGTACAAAATGTCACGGGTTCAAGTAGCTTGCAACAAAGTTGGAAAGTTAATGTGAAGAAAATTGAAATGATTACTGGTGTGATAGATACTGTATACAAACCAAAACAGGGAGTGGAAGCTTCTCGAGAGATTTAAAGAAAAAATTATTGAAAAACTAAAAACAATAGAGAAAATAACGCATTTTATGTGGAGATGTGTTCAAACTATAGTAGCAGAACTTGGAAATCTAAGGATAAAAAGGGGTACGAGAAGGAGCCAGTGGATGAAACAAAGCACTGTACGCAAACAGAAAATTGTAAAAAAAAAAAAAAAAACAAAAAAAAAAAATTGTGTTTGGTTCAGTTTTTAAAACTGTTTTATGAAAATTAATTATAAAAAAATTTATTTTCAGATAATATTCTTTTATTGTAAAACACCCTTAAATTAAAAATTCATACTGAACAGTAACCCAATCGATCCAAACCCATCCACCGCCCAACTTCCGCCACAACCACCACCGCCACTAACACATATATACACACACATATACATTATTTTATTGAACCCATCAACCTCGATGCCTATCCTTTATTGCGGCTGTGAATATAACTTTCGTACTTGATATAGTCTTGATTTGGGGATTCAATTTTGGGATTTTGTCAACATGGGTTAGGGTTCTAGAATTGGAGATTTTTCTGAAATTGGGCTCTAACAGTCATTTAAGGTTAGAGATTATTATACATAGCGAGGTATAGATTTTTGGGGAAGAAATCTCTATTATAGGATGATATATATATATATATAGAGAGAGAGAGAGAGAGAGAGATACGGATTTTTGGAAAGACTGGTTCGAGCACATTGATCAGGAAGAGAGACTGACACAGATATTGGGGGAAAAAAAATGGATTAGGAGGTGTTTGGGTGTAACAGTTAAGAAAAGCACATATCTTGTGAAAAAGATGACCAATGAAAATGTGTTGCGGGGAAGACGAACAATGAAGATGTATATGTGCGTGTCTATATAGAATGGTGCAAGAGCATCTCCAAGAAATCTCTAAAATTTAGATCTCCAGATTTGCTATATCAGCATTATTTATAAGTCACCTTAACATTTTTAAGGGTCACGCCAACTTTTTTGACGCTTCAAATTTTAGTTATCCCAAATGCTCTAACGTGCATTTTCTCTCTTTAAAAATATTAATATTTTAAATTTTTTTTTAACCTTCTCCTAATGATTATATCTATTATCATTTTATATATTTATTTATAAAGATGAAAATAAAGGCAATGAAAAAAAAAAAAAAAATCATTGTTTAAAATAAATTTTATTTTGTTACGAAAAAATTAAAAAAAAAAAATTATGAAAAATACATTTTTGGGCTAATATTAGGGGTGACAATTTGTGTTCGTGGGTCATATTCATGTCGTGTCGATATAAGGGTATTATACTAAATAGGTAAATTCAAACATAACCCATTTAATAATTGTATCAAGAATTCTCAGTACTAACCCAACCCATTTATTAAACAAGTAAATGTGTTAACCCATTTAATGACCTGATTATCAAAATGAGACATTTAATATTTAATCAAATATTAAATAATAGAAAAAAAATATCATAATTAATCCAAATATTCAATATATATATATATATATATATATATATATATATATATATATATCATAAAGCATAGACAAGGTTTATGTTAAAATAACTTATCTATTCATAGTAATTGGGTTTAAATAAGTAACATATTACATAAGTCATATTTCCGATTATAACATGTTGAGTTAAATGGGTCAAAATGAGTTACACGGGTTGAACCTCTCAACCCTAACTCAACACGGTTAAGTAAACGGGTTAATCGTATCGACTATTTTATGACCCAAACCCGTTTATATCAAACCCAAACCCTTTTAACTCGTGCCATGTTCGTATCGTGTTGTAATTGCCACTTCTAGCTAATATAGACATTTAGGCACTATTTGGGTCAGCCAAACAATTCCTAAAAAAAGCTATAATGTTAGTATAAATCTTAAAATTTTTTTTTTTTTAAAAATACATTTTTCACTTTTTTATTATTTTTTTTACTCAAAAAAGGCTTTAAGCCACTGTTTCTGTCAGCCAAACAATGCCTTAACGGCTGTTTGATTCATTTTTGTTGAAAAAAAAAAAAAAAGGGAAGGAAGAAAGAAAGAGAGAGGAAAAAAGGGCAAAAAAACTCCCAAAACTAATTTATGAAATTTATTCTAGCTAAACACGCCCTTAACCCAATTATGGGCTAAGGGCTACAGTGATTTGGGCTTAAAAAAATAAAGCAAAAAAGAAGCAAGTCCGCGCAAGACAGGCTCACGATTGCTAACAGAGTTGCTGTTTTTGGCGACCCATTCTGCGACCCAAAAATTGGGCCCACATTTTGGAGATTCCATTGGACCGCCCAAATCACTAGAAAGGGCCTGAAATTACCGGATTGTCCATCATTGGACTTGCTCTAAGGGAGTGTTTGGTTGTAACAATTAGTGAAGAGGTGTTTGGGTAATAATGATCACAACAAGGGTTCGAAAGCCAACTAGAGAACGAGTCTGAAATGCGGAAGCGAAACAAAGGAAGAAGTCACTAGAGATAAAGTTATCTCTAAGGCAACAATAGGACCACAAGAAGAGTCATAAGGCTCAAACACGGTACAATGCGGAAACTAATAACTAACAGTCCTAATAAACACGAATGTGAAAGCGAAGATTTAAATGAACAAAATGAAAAACTAAGTTTAATATGGTCATAAGGTGTAATGGTCGTATGTGGGGGTTATACCGATCCAAAGGTTCAATATAGTTCCATTGCTCAACACTAGGCATGCATGGTCAATACAAGTACAAGAGATAGGGTTTAGAAACGAAGGATGTAAGGTGTGCCTATAACAGGCATTGTGAGCACTCGGAGGACATTATGCGAGTGCTCACAGAGTGTCAGGGTGCTCCTGCGCGCGCATGAAAAGTGCGTCAAGCACCGTTCGCTGACAAGCCCCGAGCACTCGAGGGTGACCTGCGAGCGCTCGGCTAAGGATTTTGGTTACTAGTGAACAGTACCCGAGGCCAAACATAAAATATCCAATATTTGGTATTTTCTCCCATTTGCTCTAAAATGATCCTTAAAGCCTCCAAGGTCTATCCTAAGTATCCCAAGCAAAATGAAGTATGAATTGATATAAAAATACACAAAAGTGCATAAAAGATCTCATGCATACATTACAATACAAAATGGTACTTTAAACATACATTGAAAAGAAATGACCCTTGGCTTCATTACATTACGTTAAATGAATCCCAAATACAATATATGCTTAAAAGAGCCTACATCCACACTTATAAAGTACACTATACATAAAAGTTATCCAATATACAAGAGAACTCAAATAGGAACAAAAGGAATACATCCAAGCTAGATGAAGATATATCCATACAAAGCACGTCTTGTCCTGAAAAATATTCGTCAATGGGTGTAAGTTATTTAAATTACTTCGTAGGAAAATGCATTATAAAGATAACATATGGTTCATTGGTCTCGCAAGAATATCATAGGATAAACAAATGTGGAATATACCTCCTAGTCTTCTAAGTCAAAGTTAGGTCTAAGGAATCATCCTAAGACTAGCAATTGAAATGAAAACGACAATCTCAACAAAATATATCCATGCTCAAGATAATATAATGAAACCGAAATACGCCAAGCTACTTCTATACATGAATGTCAATTTGAAAACCAAATATGAAACCACATGTGACGTTTTCGACTTTCAGCATTTTTCATTTTTCTGGAAATTTTGTCGCCGCAAGGGCATTTTTGTCTTTTCATGTTTTGCGTGCGGGATTGTGGTTATGTCCAATTGCATTTCATACATTTTAATTTATGAGGATTATGTATGTTGGCCTAAGGATTTAATCTAAAGGTCAATCTTATATTTTGATGGTTACAAACCATTAATGATGTTTATGTACTAATATTTTCCTTGAATGCTATATAGTTAATCAATTAATTCAATCCTCAATAATGAGCCAGAAGCATTCCAAGTACTCAAGCAATGGATTCAAGGAAGCATTGAAGTTGCAAGAATTCAAAGATTATTCAAGTTCTCCATCAAAAGCTAACCGATCATGGTCAAGATTGAAGAAAAGGGTAGATTAGATGGTGAGAGCTTAAGATTTAATGTCAAAGTTAATTTGAATATATTTGAAGCTCAAAATTCAATCCATGCATTGCATTCCCAGTTTATCTCTCAAAGAAAATAAAATCAGCTTATGATCACATTCACAGGACTTAAAGAATTTCATATTAAGTATCATAATGTAAGATGGAGAAGGCTCCATAAAATAAAGAGAAGGCTCTTTTCTCTTATTCAGTGAGCTCTGAGAAGGCTCTTTTCTTTAACTCCAGTAAGTTTTTGAGAAGTATCTTAGAAAAAGAGAGGGCTCAATTAAAAGAAAAAGAGTGCTCTTTTTGTTCCAAGAAAGCTACGAAAATGGATCTTCAAAATAAAGAGCAGGCTCACGTTTTTATTGAGCAGGCTCTTTCCAAGGAAAATGAACAAAGAGCAGGCTCTTTGGTTTTCAAGAGACGGCTCTCTTTAGGGTTTTGAACTGTAACGTAAACATTTTCATTAATTGTTCTCAACAACCTCTAACAGCTATATTGAACTCTGTTGATTCTATAAATACTGAGGTTGGTCTTCAAACTAAAATACACTTTAACAGAGAACATTCTATCATTCCTTGAAAAGCATTAAAGAAGTATTCTGAGCTTTCATTCCCTCTCTGTTATTTCATATCACTGTAGTAATTCTGAGCTTCACGTATATTCATCTTTTCTATAGTTGTGAGCTAAACTCTGTAATCTATCTTTGAGAGATTCTTGTACACTTGTTTCTTCAAATTTCAAAGCTATT